AAGAGAAAGTTCTTTGAACGTTGATAGAAACAGGGGAAATTATATTTAACTGTAATACAATGAAATTAAGTTAATGAAAAAAAATAATCCTGAGTATCTCAACAATTGCAAAGAAAAAAGGTTACTTCGAAAATAAATAACAAAGTTTCTCTGCACTGACTGTGTCTAAACAAGTTTAAGCTGTGCATATTTCAACGTACCGTTCCGCCTGAATACACGTTATTATTGTGAATACCCTGGATTCCCCAACCGAAAACCTTCCCCATAACTATCCCAGTAACTATAAACGAGAAAATGGATTTTTCAGTAGAATATGGTATATTATACCGGTAGAACACAAAAGAGGAATTCTTATTGAAGTTACGAGTATCAAACAGCTCTTGTATTTTTCTTCATTATATTTTTGATAAATTTTTTAAATCCAATAATTCCACGTACAAACTCTCATAGTTTCGAAATAATAACGCATTTCCACGTACACACAGCAGCCGTCATTGCCGCGACAAAGTTCTGATTATATGAAGGTTACGTGACTGGCATAGAAACAAAATGGGACTCACAACACGACTTGAAGACGTAGAGAATAAACTGCGGTTGGAATGCGTACGGGAGATCTATTCGTTACCTGAATAAATACGGCGGTGGCGGCTGGATGCTGTTACCGCAAAAGGTTTCTTTCTTTTTTTTATTCGGTGGGTCGTCTTTCTTTGGGATCGCAAGAATGAGGGACAAATGGAGGTCTAAAAAAAGGAAGAATCGGTCGTGGGCAACCGACAGAAATGTCGATCTTTTGATGTGTAAAATCGGCCGAGGGCACAAATCACGAGCTATTGAAAAGATATACCACCTATTTGATGTACAATAAAAAATGAGAAAAGAAAAATGTATAGATCGATGTAATATTTCAATTTTATTTGATTTTAAAATGAATTATAAAATAGTTTTAAAATAAGTTCGTTGAGCAGAACTAGAATGTCGGTTATAAAACAGGTAATCTACAGAAGTAGCTTAGTAAGAGAAGATTATAAAAACAAGAGAAGGATCACAACATAGTTTTTGTAGTTGAACAAACTTTGGAAGAAATGAGAAGACAGGATGAGTTCGAAAAGTTTGCAGAAAGATGGATTAAGAAGAATAAGTATGAATTGGTGGAGAAGATGATGTACGATATGGAGACACAGGTCAACATTATGTGGGAGGAAATAGGATAGAGGGATATTTTCACCCAGACTATCGAGATAGGTGCAGCAGTGGACAGAATCGGAGAAAAAAAACACTGTTGCGAAGATGGAAAACTGTTTTTAAAAATACAGAAACAAAAAACAACCTAAAATTATCCAATGTGATCAAGCAGGGTGGTAAGATCAGGGTGATAGATAGAGGAGAAGAAACGAAAATCGGAAAACTTGATAAGAAAGGTGCAGAAATTCTCCTGAGAGACGGAAGTATAAGAATATAGTCACAAGGTGCGAATTGGAAAGAAGGTTGGATGTGAAAAGGTTGAGAATACGGGCATTGCATAGCTGTACAGGCCCTGATGGTCAGTGATTGTAAAAATAAAGAACATTGTCCTATACGCCGTATGGAAACGTTCTTACGTTTTCGGTTAAAGTAAACAAATTTAATAAGGAAAAATAAAGTCGACAAGTATTTGAGAGAAAGCTTTTGTGCGACGAACTGAATGAAAACATCTGGAGGAAGGTGTATAAAAGCATTACCAGGAAGTTTGCCATGAAAAAAAAACAAATATGGATAATAAAATAGTGAAAGGACAATTAAGTAAATCATTGTCTCAGCAAAAAAAACATAGTTAGATGTGATCTTGCAGAGTTAGAGGCATAGCAGATCATTCTTTTCGCTCTCGGAGGAGTCTCTCAGAAGTATAAAATAACTGCCTATCAAACGGAATATTGCCGAAAAATGGAAGAATACAAAATTCTTATTGAAAGACCTCAAAAAACCAGAAGCAATGGTGAAAATGGCAATAATCAGTTTGGTTAATGCTTTGACCAAACATAATGGTGGATTTGAAAGACGGTTACGTCATCCAATAAAGATGGTAATATCTTATTTACATGATAAATCTATAACGGCGGTAAATGAGACTACATTGGATGTGAGGAAGTAACAAGGGAGTACTGCAGTTTTAGGCTTGGTACGATATAACCAGCGCCGCTGCAGTTAAGTAAAATCTGGACCCAGACATGAAAATGATAAGACATATCTTGAAGGTCGTGAATAAAACCTCGCTAATGGCAAAGGTATTGATGAGAGTGATCCCAAATGTTGAAAATCCTGTGTTTCAGAGAAGACGACTGTTGTGCTTATAGCGGTAATACCACCTATGGACCTACTGGTAGATGAGATAATTTAAAAGAAGAGAGAAGGCATTTATACAGGAGAGGAAAGGACCACAAAAAAATTTGAATGGCAGTAATGTTGAAATGAAGTAACCGGGAAGGATGGACAAGAAATCTCATTCCATACGTAGAAAAATGGGTCTCAAGAAATTGGGGCGAGGTGGTTCTGATAAAGGCTTTGTACAGTGGGTACGGGAGTTTTGGGACATAGAAAATGCCGAATAAAATAATGGGAATAAATTAAGAATATGAGAGGTAGAGAATAAATAAGTAAATGAGTGCAAGACGTAAATGGTAGGATTATAAAGGGGAGAGGGCAAAACGTTTTCTCTCCCTCGAATGGATGCATAAAACTTCTTCCTACACTTTTCAAATTATCATTGCTTTTGTAAAAAAAATGTATAGCGAAAGTAAGCTGCTGACTGTTCCATTGACCTATGTTTATTAAATTACGAGATTGTTTACAAGTCCTTGCCCTGCAATACATGCAGCTATTACACGTTTGAAAAGTTTTTGTTTTTGTGTTACCTGTATCACATAACCTGTATGTTGACCAAAACATTTTAGGCGGTGAAAATGTTCGGAGAAGAGATTGTGTTGACCAGGGATAATTTATAACTCTAGTGGAGAGCTGAATATTATTCTTTTTAGGGCTTCTTTGTAAGTCTCCAACGATCTTTATTGATCTGCTTCGCTATGCGTGTTTTTATAATTTTGTCAAATGTTTTTTCTTACTCATTTTTTTAGTAAGGAAGTAACATTTATTTAGAACGACTCTCATCAATATTAATGGATTCATTAATTTAAATTAACCTGCTTTTTGTTTCTATCAAGGTAGGACATTTGAACGTCAGATCGCTCTCTGTTCACTGGATCGTATACCTAATTATCGCTGTGTTTTTGTTAGTTATATTAGATTAAATATTCAGAGTAACTTTGTGGAGGGGTTGGCGTCGAGCTGTACACGATTCATTCAAGCTCGGTGCCCTATCTACTTTCCGGTATACTCTAAAAACAAATTTGGCATTTCTTTTAAATGAATAACACTAATAGTTTTTAGAAATAATTTATTTTGGATTAAAAAGAGAAAAGTTTAACATCATTAAAACTATAATATGAAATAAACATTATAAATATATTCAGTTAATAACAGCATTTGAGTTAATTTAATAAAGGGGAGGGGGATTTTAACGAAAGCCGGAAGCTTGTACACTTTTGCTTAAACGTTTTTGTTTATTATTACATTTTTTTAATTCACGTTTATTTTCTTATTTAACATCAAACACCACCATATGTACACACATTACATGTAGATGTTCACGATTAAATAAAAACTAATAAACTAACTTGTAAATACATTAACAGTTTTATTACCAATTGATTTTTGAGTTTAAACATAATGCTTATTGCTTATGTAGGATTTTTCTAATTCCAATAAATCTATATTAGGAGGCGTTGACGCATGAAATGTTACAATTTATCATCGAATTGGCGTTTAACCCAATAAATTCTCGTGAAATCGTATTGTTACGGATCAATTTGTGATAGGATACGTTATTGATGATATATTGCTCTGTGGATTTTAGTCTTTTCTCCAATCCGTTGATTACCAAATACTTAACAAAAAGTGGTAGTATTTTATTAATTTGTACGTATTACAGCCCTATTTTTTTATGTATATTTTCACAAAGTAAAACCACAGAGTATCCAATAAATGTTATGACTGACAGTTTAATCGGTTTAGATTTTAATTGTTTTATCTACTAATCCTCGAACCAATTAAATAAAATCGTATTGGAAATACCGAATAAAAAATTATTGTTATTTTCCTTTAAACTTTTTAAATAAAATATACGGAATATATGATAACTTTAAATAAATTAGTGATTTTATCACATTTTTATTACTTACACGTTTCATGAGTCAACACATCGCTCGTTCGAAAAATAAGGAATTAATATTTGGACGGAATCTAACAAAAATATAGTTAGGTTTACACAAGGATGGATTATTGCGTGAATATCTAGGATAAATTCATATCGTTCTGTATAATCACTAAATATTTTTATTTTACTTTGCAAGATTTGGTCCATCTGAGCTTCTATTACTTATATATATATTATATTTTCATTGAATAATATTTAAATAAAGATTATTTAAAGGTATCATTAAGTAGAATGTTTATTCAAACTATTTATTTGTTCTTATAAAGAATTATGAGCTTTTAAATGTATTTAACAAAAGCTTATAACTTTTCTAATCGTTTAATAAGTATTCAATTTATGTAATTACTCCCCGCAGTAGATAATATTAAAACTATGAGTAAATATATTAATTATTTATTTTTCATATTAATTTTTAATGACAACATAACCGAAATTGTTTAGTTATTGTTGTTTTTTTCGGCAGTGGAGCAGCAATACTTAATATACTATGTACTTTTATAATTTTGATTACTTAATTGGTCGTTATACGTATTTAGAATTCTCAATAACGTTGCATTATTGCGTATACAAACTTTGTAATGCATCACTATACCAAGTCTTCCTAATCTCCTACCTATTTAATTTCATCTACAAAGTTTACGTTGATAATTGACAATTTTTTTTATGTAATATTAATATTTGATGTTTTCTGTATTAAAATAATTTTAAAAAATGATTTAATTTAGATTTAATTTTTGATCGTTTTGTACCCTTATTGTTACTGAAATATATTTTACAGGATGTAATTTGTTTTCTGCAAAATGCCTTAGGACTCATCGAGAAAGATGTAAAAATCAACCTGTTTAGCATCAACCGTGCAGATAATTCGGTTAAAATAATCAAAAACATTAGAAAGAAAACAACAATGACCAATGATAAATTGAGCTTAAATCCAATGATTTTTTATCATCCAAGGATTGATCAGAGCTTTTTAGTATTAGAACGTTAGTAAGGAGCTTAAGAATTGATTAAAGATTTAACGACCCCAGTTTAGACTCGGGTCCTCATTCTCTCTATTTTGTACGAACAAAACAAGAGATTTACTTCCTATCAACTCCAAAAAGAAAAAAAAAGCAATGATTTTATTACTTAAGTTTTATAAGTCACTAGCTCTTCTGCTTTGTTTTCACTTATTATTAGCCTATTGTCAAACGTTAACATTACAGCAAAAAATATTTATTGTGCAGGAAGAAAATAAAAAGGTATTAAATAAAAACGATGCGAGGTCGATTATTGCTATAATGAACACTATGAATAACATCATTAAAAAAAGGTAGCCGAAATCAAAATAATTAAATCCCACTTACAAAGGATTTATAGAGAAAATTTTAATCAAATTTTACTAACGCTCATTATTTAGAGTTTTATTTGTGGCTGAAATAGAAAATTTTGAACGATAGAAATTATCTGAAAAATAATACATTATTAAACATTATAATTCTATAGTTTCATTACAAAATTGTTGGTTCTCGATTTTTAGCCATGCAAAACAGGTAAAATGAACATAATAAAATTTTAATAACAATTTTGACCTTTCAAAACTGAATTTTAAATGTGTTATTTTTGAATATATTATAAAATTCGTTGTTTTACATTGAAAGAAATTTTAAAAAGTGGAAAAAGAGTTTAATTATGTGTTAACTATTATAAAAAAAGAAATATTTAACGACTGACATAATATTTTGTTAACTAAACATAAATATCAAGTTTAGGGGGTGATATCGTTTATCCCACAATACCAATTAGTAAAGTATTCGTAGATCGATAAGAAAACCGTGTGCTGAAGACACAATGAGCGAACAGTGTTGATCTTAATCACCTCGTGGTCTTTGTCTCTCTTATTCCACTATACCAAAAAGATTCGGATCGATTTCGGCCTTCGGTTTGGGCTCAAATAGAGTTCTGATTTTATACTAAATTTAATTTATATTTAAAGATGAAAAAATATCATGGAAAGGAGCGAAATTTAAATATAATTATTATCAATAGAGCATCCGAAATAACTTTCCAAACTAATCCATTCAACTCATTTTTAAAATTTAATCAAGTATTCTTAGTAACAATGTTATTCAATTTAACCAAGTTCTGATTTATACAATAGCATCACAGAATGCAACATCCAGTGAAATTAAATTTTGAATCCCTGAAACAATTAATGGTGCTTTGTGTTTCACCAAAATCAAATCCACTAATACTGGCTTAATAGTTTCATTTTCATGAGTATTGTAATAAAATTGCCTTATTATAATAACGCAAGGATTTGTGCGTAATTCCTAATGAGTTTAAATATTGCTAATCATTATTCCAACAATCTCTCGTTATTATGGACAATTATTCCAAACGCTAGCACTAACAATAAATTGAAATTGAATTCATAAAGAATTTTTGTGACTCATGGCAAAATTTTAGTCACAACTACTTGAGTTAAACTGATCAACAAACAACAATGTTTAAGAGTTAAAATAGTTTTTTGGGATAATTAAATAAATTATTGACACTTTTTAACTGGTTTAGACCTAAAATTTTTGCTAAAATCATCGATTTTATTCTAGTATTTGTGATTAAAATGGATCACTAATTGATTGTTAGCAAAAAATTGAGTCTGTCTGTATTTAGCATTTATAACCAGAAAAAGGATTAAAAAAATCTCTTCAACATATTTATTTTTATTAACTAAATAGAGGTAGAAAAAATCTGATGATGTTTTAAACGATTAAAGTAATAAATTGCAGTAAATGAACAAACACAAATATTTTTAATAAATGTGTTGACGTTTTAGTTTTTCTTCTATCTATGTATCTGCGCAACTCTACAAAAAATGTTCTGTTGTAAATTGAGATTTAATAAAGTTTTCCTACTTCACATGAACAAAGTAGAAATAATTAACGAGTTGTTCATCTTGCTCTAATCAATCGAGAATTTTTGAAATCATCTCAAGATAATCACGCAAAATTTACTCCGAAATATAAAAAGATTTTGATTTAATCTCTCGTGACATCATTTCTTTTTGAAACCAAAATCATAAAAACTAAAACATTGTTTTACGATACAAACACTTTTATTAATACATATTATAATACATATGAAACCATCATTCCTAAGTCCTTTTCAGACTTACTTATTACATTATCTACGCAATTGTTCCTACCTAGGTATCACAATGAGGTGGTGCGATTCGTAAGAATTACCGCTTCCGACACCGCGGCATTAGTCCTGGCCACGAGGTCCGGATCGTTAGGCTGCCGTACGCCGGTGATATCACAATCAAACTTCCAGAGAATCGCATCTTGCTGTTGAAATCGCTGCGGGAGATTTTCGTGTTCCTGCCTGGGCACAACGTCGCAGTTCGTCTGAGGATTTCGACCACCGCGACCGAGGGTCGAACTCCTCGGCAAATATGGCGGGCAGCGTGGCGCCGTTTTATAGTTTAAGGTCGCCGCCCGTTGCTGCAACTGCTGTTGTTGTTGATGTTTGGGGTTGGACGGGCCTCCGCAGCAATCCCTTATTGCGTTTGACGAGCGCGAAAACGTTGAAACGGCCCCGTGTAGTTTACGCTAGGTGTCCTCGTCGTAGGTTATTGGAGATTTTTTCATTTCCATCATGGGTAACATTACTCCTTCCTGAAAGAAAGTAGATAAAAAGACAGAGAATTTATAAGTATTAAGGTTAAGTTTGTAATCACAACAACGATGGTAATACGAAATTGATAAGAGAACGACAGAGATAATAATACATTTCGAGAAGGCGTCACGGCGTAGTCTGTTTATGTTCCGAACTTCCTATCATTAAGTTATGGAAACTTCGCCAAACTTTGCTGCACTAACTCAGCTATTGTCTAACTTTCTCACAGCATTTAAGCTTTGCCGAAGTAGAAAGTTACTACATTCACGATTCTCCTTCTACTTTGTTGGCAAATACATAAAACTCTTCCTTCAGAATAATTTTTATTTTAAACTAAAAAATTGATGTATTAAATAATTTAATAAATTATTCCTCTCCCTTAGGCACTCCTTTACACAAACCAAATTAAAAATTTTAGGAATAATATTTTTTAGAATAATAGTGTGATCAAAAAGCCATCGAACACATCGCAACTACTAGTTTGCTCATGTAATTTTAATTGTTGACCTTTTAATCTACATTAGAAATTTATGTGCCAGTTAGGACAATGGCGTTCTCTAGAACAATAAGGCCATTGAAGTCATGCAATTGCATTTGTTGGAGTAGTTCTGCTTTCAACATTAAAAAGGTATATTAAATAAAGGCTGTTACAAAGCAATGTGCGAAACAAAAATTTCAAAAGAAACGTTCATTTGAAAACAACAGTAATATTATTTTATTTCATAAATAGGGCAAAATAAACTTACCCCATTAAGATGAGGCAGATCAAGAGCTGCAGGCACGTACGTCGTTGCAGGACTGCATCTGGCACAGGATCTTCTTAAAGCTGGTCTTTGTCTTGAGCCGTGACATCGAACTGCAAACCTTAGTTCTTCAGCCATTTCGCTGCAGAGCGACTGTCGGTCCGTTTGGGCGTTTTTCTTACTGTTCCAACAAAACTCCAATATCGCGACCAGTATGGCAAGTGCCAAACCGCACAAAAGCACCACAAACACGCCGCCTGCGACAAACAAACAGAAGGCGAGGCAGACTTTAGAACGAGAGGATTAAATTGTCGGCCGGAAACGACCCCTTGTTGGCTCAAATTGGTTTCGTTCCTTATCTAATTGCTAGGTGAAAACGGCGGCAAGAATAGGTTCTTTTTAAAGAGAACAAGATTGCAGCGCTTTTCCTGGATGTATAATTATTGTTGTTGGAATTAAATTAAAAACTAAATTCTTTTAAAGAAAATACATTAATAATATTCGAAATATCCGTTGACCCTTTCTGCACTAAAGTACATTTTGGTGAAGTTACCGTATACAATATTGAATTTCAAACTTAATGACTGCAATTTCTATGCATCTGTGTCCGTTTAGAAGGTATCGGTTAATCTTGTCTGGGTTGCATCCTGAAATTTACAGCTTTCAAGGTAGTTTGCATCCATTTACCCCCTGGTTTTGGGTAACTAGATGATCTATAGCTTGACATCAGCCGTTAGAAATAGGAAGACGTCTCTCAAGGCAGACGTCAGTCGGTTGATATGCGATAAACTTTGCTGAACATCTCATTTCAAGATACTCGAGAGAAAGAGAGAGAGAGTAAGTAATCGTACATGGAGTTATTAAATAAAGGCAACAAAATTATTATTAAAATTCCATTGAATTATTTCTATTCAAATAAATATTCATATAAAGAGAATATCTCAACAGTAATACGTTCATTAAAATGTAAATTAGCTAATTACTCGCTTTTATTCAATATTTTGAATTCAATAACGTATTACATTTCTTTCATGCTTTCATTGTATATTATAATTTAACGTGATTATTATTGTTATGTTAATTAATTAATTGAAACATTTTTGTAATTATATTATTAGTATTAATACTCACTTCTTTTGCTGTGAAAAGACTATTATAATTTATATCATCTATTGTTATTTATTAATTTTTAAAACAAAGTGTTTAGAATACAATTTTTACGAACATTGTGTTAATGCTTGCATATTTAGTTTTTCAAATCGAAAGCTTGCTGAATATCCTTGAGTTGGTGAAACTGCAAAATTTTCAAATACACTACATTTCCAGAAATTTAGGTACTCCCGATGGGGAGCTGCTGCTATCTTCTTGTGTTAGAGTTGTATTTCTATGTTACAATTGTATACACAAGTAAGGAAAACGTTATGTATACAGATTAATGAGAAAGAAAAAGTAAGAAATAAGGGTGCAAAAAATATTCCTAATAATTAACTCAACGGATAATAAAACCAGTTTTATCATCCTTGACCATCGTAGAAGAATTTGATATACAGATTTTCCTTTAATCAATAGTTGTTTCCTTATTCATTAGTTTAGGATCGTGGAAGAGAAAAATTTGAATTAGATAGTTGTAAGTCTTCAAGGAATAAAAAAATAACTTAATTTTATGTAAGAAAATTTCCTTTTTTATTTTTCAGTAGTTCGGAAAGTTTATAGTTCGGTTTGGGGTAAGCAAGTTTGATCATAAAATACCAATTACTCGTGCCTCAAGAAACAAAATACTTTAAAGTATAAAACTGAATAGAACGATAAATTTTGTACACCGATTACTACACCCTTGGCGTACTAATATACATCAATCCACCCCGTAGCACAACACCGTAGAGAAATAAAAGTAAAACCGCCCATAAACCCAGGGTTTGTTATTATTCTAAATTTACCGCTCGAGAACCCTGTTTGCCATAAAACCCGTTTACCGAAACTTCGAGGAGGAGAGTTTAGCCTTTATTTCTGCGTATCGACCCTAGAATGACGTGAGGAGTTGTTGTATGGGTCAACCCCGAAATGATTATTTTTATGATTTAGTTATGTATTTGGGGACAATAAATTTATTTCTTTTAGAAACCATTCCTAACTTAACACTCACCAATGTTTTCAATCCCTAACGCATTTGCTTTTGATTCTTTGCTTTTATCGTCTCTGTTGCAAACATCACCGGTGTTCTTCCACCATTTGTCGTACAGTATCTGGATAACGCCTTTCTCTTGTAATTCGAGAATGGCAAGAGAGATCTTATCTCTCCAAGGGCTTCCTTTGGGTGTGGCGATTCCGTAACCTTTGGAATCCAGAAGTCCTCCTATTTGAGTTAAATTACAATCGCGTTGAACAGCGTAATCAAGCATCGTTGACTCCATTAGGAATGCATAATTGCCTTGAAGGACACGGTTGACACCTTCGTCGTAAGTGGATACGAACACCTGCGATCGTTTACCTTCCATAAATCGCCACATTTTCTGATATATCCCGATTTTCGAGTCCTGTGGAAAAAAAAAATCATTTAAAAATCGTTTAAAACTATTATATTATGAGTGTTAAGAAGTCCGAAATGTAATATCACGTACATAAGTAGATCGTGTAGTAGTTGTAAACGTTAGGGTTGATAATGTTATGGTTATTGTTAGTATAGAGAACGTGCTTTGGATTATCGTTTCGAAGGAACACGTAAGGTTCGATACTTACCCTAAAGAAGGTCATCGTGCTGCCACCGGATAATGTTCCGTAAGCGATGTCTGTTTGCTCTGCCAAATCTTGGGCGCTTTCTATAGGTGTTATCATTCTTTCCACTGTTAAAAATGCGGCTAAATTCGCCGTGTAAGATGAGATTATTATCAATGTGAAGAACCACCATATCCCACCCACAATCCTTGTTGAAGTAGCCTAAACAGAAATATTTTGTTAGATAGATTAAATTGTCTACATTAAATAAAAACTAAAATTCTAAACATAACTCATAGCGACAAAATAATTTATTTATTATTTGTACTCACTTTTTTTATAAATGGCGATATTTCCAAGTTCCTAATAAATGATTTTGCAATACTATTATTATCGAATTATGAAATTCAGTTCACGTTAACGAATTGCTTAATGAATTATACATAGAGGTTTCGGGTATTGTATGATGTACGTAAATTAGAAACTGTGTGAAATGAAATTATTGTTTGAACCACATTAGTGTACACGTAATAGTTCCGATCGTTACGAGTGTTATTGTTTGACAAATCAATTTAATAACATCAACGGTCGGTATTTTGTTACGCAATTATAGGAAATTCATCGTACATTTTACACTAGATCTAACGGGACCGTTTGTGGATTGTAACGGCAAATTATACTGTGAGTAGTATTTCGAGGACTTTTGCTGCGATAAATTTTACTGCTGATTTGGCGAACGGTTTTCACCACTTCTGACACCCTCCCAATTAAGCGATTGGACGTCGAATCGTGCTACTACGCTGATTTTAATTAATCGCTGCGTTTTATCAATTAATTAAAATAGGTACAACACGACCGATATTGCTTTATTAAACAGTCTCGTACCATCGAATTTCAATCTGTTACGATTTGCTCGGAATTAACACCCTAACGACCTTTTTAATTTACGTTCTTTTCTACAGTACAATTGAACAACTCTTCTACATAGTTACTACATAGCTAAAAAGAAATTAATTAAATTTTTTCTAATCTAGCATTTAAATCAGGGGATACCAACATACGTATTAAGAAATCCGATATAGTTGAAGTTTAAAGAAAAAAATACCTTGGGATTGAGATCGGATCCTTGTTGCATTAAAGACCCTATGGCAAACCAGAGACTATTCAACGCCGTGAAATTGTTCTGTAAAACTTCCAGGGTAGCAACTTCATCGGCGTGTTCATGAGACGAACACGGATCTGGTAAAAATTCGATTTCGTCATCATTCATGGCGGAAAACTGAGGTCTTTCGATAGCCGTGGCAACATTCAGGAGGGATTCGCCGCTAGAATTGCCACTGTCGTTGTCGTCGTCGACTCCACAAGGATGGAAACATTGTCCGTATACCACTTCGTATTTCTTTACTAAGCAGTCTTCGCAAAGTTCGGGCTCGTTCCATTCGTATGGAGAAAATCGAGCGACGATCCATATGGTCACAGATACAAGAAAATACGCGACTGCGGCTAATGTCCAGATCTCCAGGGCGAGAGGATTTAGGAACGAGTACAGTTCGCTTTTTATGGGTTTCGATTCCTTTAAGAAATAAGTACTTACTAGAAAAATACTTTTATATGAAAAGGAATTTTATGGTTGGATTTTGGTGTTGGGAATTTTACAGATTTACAAGGTTGAATTTATTTTTTCAACCTATGGTTGCTAATCTGTTAATCTATTGTTTTGATAGTTTTAAATATTTATTTGTAATAATTTTTGATTTATTACATGCTTTGTACATTTAGTTGAGGATTATATTTATTAATATAATTAGCGAGCAATGACAACGCATACCACTATTCTAAGTTATAAATCTTTTCTGGATAGATTCTCTGCTTTGCAGAACAGTATTCTTAGTGAGAACTTCGATGTCTGGATAAGGATTAAGGTAACAGTAAATAGAAGATACGTGATTTTAGTCGTTACAATGATTACGGATTTAAAATCACAACGAGAATATCAACAATAATATTGACTATCAGAAAGTCTACATCTGGCAGTATTATTTTGCTTAACTACACATGAAAATGTGTGCAAATTATGTAACCAGTACTAACTGTGGAGGTTAATGGCTAAAGGTTATTGGGAAATTTAAGTATTTCGGAAAAAGGACTCTGAGATTAAAAAATTTAAAGAATTGAATCATAGAGGCTTTGAAAAATATACTCATTATGGAGAGCAACTTATAGACTCAAACGACCAACTGTTCGTAGTCTTGTGGTGCCAATTAAAAATGCACAAAATCAATGGGTTAACCAACACCTAGCAGGTTATAGCAGATATAGCATTGTTTAGTAGCCAAAAATAAGTATGAAGCTGTTTTCACCCTAAAACGGCTTCTGGATTTGATGATATTTCCTTGGTTTATAAAAGAATTGCAAAGAAAAGCAATCACAATGTAGACTTATTTAATGGAAGCTTGAGACTGAGAATGCCCCGTTGCAATGTTTTAAAACGGTATAGATAACAATGCCTAAAAAATTCCGCAAACCAACGGAGCTAGTTCGAACATATAAACCTATCTCGTTATTACTTGTCATTTCAAAATTGGTTGGTAGATTATTTTCTAGATTAGTTTGGATTTCATAATTTCCATTCAACAATAGATCAAGTGATTGTGACAACCGTTATTGAGAAAAGAAGTGGACAGAAGCATACTCAACATTTAGGCAGTGTTTTAGGATTACTCCTTTATCTACTGTACACCGCAGATATTCCAATTTCAAAAGATGCTGTATTTGGAATATTCAAGCAAATATTTAGAATCAATAAATCGGTTTCCACCTTGATGGCAGACTGAATTAGAAGCATCATGTTAAACGGAAACTTGAGCAGATTAGACTCAAAAGTAGATAAATGATTACTTTATCAGAACATAATTATTAGGGAATTAGCTTAGGGAACACAGCTGTGGGTTTGTACTAAGTCATCCAATCAATTGATCATTCAAGGTAGTCTAAATCAAGAACTGCATGATGATCTCGAAATCAAATGGATCTACAACGTAATCCAAAATTTCGCAGGGAAGCATGAAAAAGACTACTGCGGTACCATCGTTGAAGCCATTTTGCTCCTGGATATTATTCAGGAGATTGAAGGGAATTAACGTCACACACTTTTGCAGCGATTTGTTTATTGTTCGGGTATAATTAAGTAGTACTAATAAATAAATTTCTGTTCAATAATACATTGCAATGTTATGAATTTTGTTTCGAACTTTATTCATTCTTTAGAATTTAAGAAGTTAGCAGAAAAAATTGTTTTACACTGTTAAAATAAATAAATGTTTTAAACGAATGAGTTTCGTATTAGGGTACGCCATCTATAATATGTTATTAGAAGTAGTTTTTAGGTTGGCACAAGTTTGGCGGTTAGTCGTTAGAATGTTGAGGTTAGAAGAAAAATCGTTAAGACCAAGTTAAGATGACACGCAGTTAATGAGTATTTTAGTCAAGTTTAGTGCTGTATGAGTTTTATAAAGAAGTGTGTATGCTTTATGTTAAACAATAAATAGTTCTTCAGTTATCAACAAATACTTTATTAAAGTAACATTAATAAAAAACCAACATACACTTTGGTTACTTTTTGTTAAATTGCAGATTTTAGTTTATTATTGAAGTGGCCTACATTTGAGAAATGAGATTTAGCTGTAGATACTCCTGATATGGTAACACTATCGCACGATGCGATATACTATTAGCTCACCATCTATTTGCTCGAATAACCGAACGTGATTTCATATTCGGTGCGAAGTTTCGTGCACTTTACTAAAAAGCTTTTAAGCAAACGCGCTTCTTGGCTTCATATTTGTTAATGTAGATATCGCGTGATTTATAAGTTTATAATATTATTAGTGTTCCGTAATAACTATTTTTATTAGTTTTTGGTGTTTGAATGTATTTATTTATTACTATTCCTTTAGTAGGGCATAATAATAGACGATTAAGGCCAGAAAAGCGACATTGAATTGAACCCTCATTAATATCCGCCGAAATGACTGTGTTTCCTATAATTATGTACAAGCCCAGATTTCAACGACGATGATTAACGTAAATTATTCATCTATGTTATACAAGCCACAAATTGTCTACAAATATTGAGTCCTAATATTCGCTGTTGTTTCGCTTGATTTTTCAAAATTGAGGTGCAACTATAATATGTTTGATTTGTCCGATTAATTTTGTACATGTAATATTTTTTAATAAAAAGGTAAAAATAAATAAAAGCTAGAAATGAAAAACATACCAATAACTAAATAAATACGAATTCCGTGGCTCAAAAATGTTTATGAAAAAACTTTTATTAAAAAGATATAAAAAATATATAAACAATGCTTTTAATTAAAATCTCTCCTATAATTAAACATAACACTATAATCGGTAGGTTGTTTTCCGAATCCTCCAAGATGTTTCGAACCGAAAGCTCAACATTAGCGTTGCTGTGTTTATCTTGGAAAAAGTTGTACCTTCCAGATGCTTTTAAATCCGTACCCCATCTTTCCGTATGAATTATCACTAATATGTGAGATCTTTTTAAATTATAATTCTTTAGTTTTCTAAATAAAAAGAATTTCGAAAGTTATTGCGTTTTTGACATTATAAAAAATTGGTCGTAACATGTCATTAGAGTTGATGGACCTTAGGTTAAATTTGAAGTTTCTCTTTATAGCTGTAATAGTGTCATAATGACAATGTTAAGGTTAGTTAGAAATTGCTAAGATATAAAAATGATTAATAAGAAAAAAATAGATTTTTAAGTGTATATGTTTTTAATTCAACTAATATTTATTACAACCAATGAATATTATAAAAAGTATAAAACTTAAGTTTAATTAAAATCTCTTCTATAATTAAACATAACTCCATAATCGGTAGGTTGCTTTCCAAACCCTCCCAAATGTTTTGAACCGAAAGCTTCAACATTAGCATTGCTATGTTTATCTTGGAAAAAGTTGTATCTTCCAGATGCTTTTAAATCGGTGCCCCATTTTTCAGTATGAGTGGCTTCTAAATGTGCTGTACTTGCAGTTGGTTTATGTAAATAGCTGGCTTCGCCACCGACGGTTAAAGGATTATGATGACGGATGTTATCGGTGGCAAAAACATGCGTATCCAATCTATGATTCTTGTTATCAATTGGTGTATTTTTTGTACCGACAATGTAATTACCTGGATCTGTGATGTCAACGTTTCCATACACACTTCCTCTGTTACAAAATTTAAATAAACAGTTTAATTAAATATGTTTTTATATAAATAAATTACGATTACCTTCTAACTCGTTCCAAAGGTACCAATTGATAAAGTTCACCATCCTCATTTGCTACTATATCGGGATATGGAAGGGCAATAACAGCCGAAACGAAACAAAGAGAAGCTATTAACAAAGCAGAATTCATTTTTTAAATTGTTCTTTTACTACTTGTTCAATTAAAGCAGTTGATGAACTGTGTTGAATGATAACAGCAGCGAGGTTTATATATCACGATTCTCTTTGTTTTCCTACGAAAAGGGGATTCCAAAATTTTAGATTGAGAAAAAAACTTAAATTTTCTTGGCTCTAATCTCATCTTAATTAACAATTTAATGTCGAGGTCACATTTGTTATCAGTGTTATTTCTATCTCGAAGTATGTTTACATTTTATAATTATACAAGTTTATAAATATCGCTTGGGTTTTCTTGGTTTTTGGTTGTGATCAAAAAGTTAAAATCAATTTTAGATACGATTGTTAGATCAATTAATAATTTTGGCGCAAAAATCTTTTTCTTCTCCTATTAATTAAAGCATCTAAATTTATTAAAACTCTTCTAAACATTCTTATCAAAAAACTTATTGATGTTTATAAACTTATGTGATTATTAAAATATAAACACAGTTTAAAATTGAAATACATTAATTAAAGTTTATGACCTCGATACTAAAACATTGATTAAGATGTCATTAGAGATTAGAAAAACCCAAATTTGTTTTACAACTCTTGTTTAGGACGCGGGGACTTCTTATTATCAGACCTTATCGTAAAAACTAAAATTTTTGGAATCCCCTTTACCCACGAAAACAAAGTTTTTTGGTATATAAGTCTCGTTGAAAATTGCATTCAACACAGTTCAATCAACTGCTTTATGAAAATAAGTAGTAAAACAACAATTTCAAACATGAATTCTGCTTTGTTAATCGCTTCTCTTTGCTTCGCTTCGGCTGTTATTGCCCTTCCATACCCCGGAATAGTAAAAAATGAGAATGGTGAACTTTATGAATTGGTACCTTTACAACGAGTTAGAAGGTAATTTTATATTTAATTTATTTATACATTTTTATTTAATTTGTTTAATTTAACAGAGAAAGTGTTTATGGAAATGTCGACATCACTGATCCAGGTAGTTATATTGTCGGCACAAAGAATACACCAATTGATAACAAGAACCATAGATTGGACACGCATGTCTTTGCCACCGATAACATCCGTCATCATAATCCTTTAACCGTCGGTGGCGAAGCCAGTTATTTACATAAACCAACTGCAAGTACCGCACATTTAGAAGCCACTCATACTGAAAAATGGGGCACCGACTTAAAAGCATCTGGAAGATACAACTTTTTCCAAGATAAACATAGCAACGCTAATGTTGAAGCTTTCGCTTCAAAACATTTGGGAGGGTTTGGAAAGCAACCTACCGATTATGGAGTTATGTTTAATTATAGAAGAGATTTTAATTAAACTTAAGTTTAATACTTTTTATATTTAATGGTTGTAATAAATATTAGTTGAATTAAAAACATATACACTTAAAAATCTATTTTTTTTCTTATTAATCATTTTTATATCTTAGCAATTTGTAACTAACCTTAACATTGTCATTATGACACTATTACAATTATAAAGATAAACTCCAAATTTAACCTAGATCCATCAACTCTAATGACATGTTACGACCAATTTTTTATAATGTCAAAAACGCAATAACTTTCGAAATTCTTTTTATTTAGAAAACTAAAGAATTATAATTTAAAAAGATCTCGCATATTAGTGATAATTCCTTACAATGAATTCAGCTTTGATAATTGGTGCTCTTTGCTTCGTTTCGATCGTTGCATTTCCTTATCCAACTCAACTAAAAAGTGAGGATGGTGGTATTTATCAACTGGTACCACTCGAACGTGCTAAAAGGTAATTTTAAATTAAAATATTTTAAATTAAATTTGTTTGAATTTTTGTGACAGAGGATGTGTTTATGAAAGAGTGGACATCAGCGATCCAATTAATAACAAGGGTGGAGAGCATCAATATTTATTAATCGACGATAGTGAATCTAATTATTTACCTAAACCAACAGCAAGTACCGCACGTATGAAACTTACTTATGATGACAGGGATTTTAGAAATTAACTTATCGATTATGTAAATTTTATAAATTTGTAGTAATTTTTTTAAATAAATTTATTTTATTGATTTAAAGAGTAGTATTGGGTCCGTTAACCTTGCTTAGGCTGCTTTAATATCACCGATTCCTTCAATTTGCTTATTGAAAATTGTATTATATCCTGGAACCATAAATCTAAAAATTAGAAGTTGTGATAGGATTCTCCTGAATGTGCTGATGGAAGAGTGAACAATGATATGGTACAAAGGGCAAGTTAAGATTATCCAGATAAAGGAAACGCCACAGATGTGGCAAGTAGGAAAAAGTGCATTGAAAAAACACCTTTGTATTGGATATTTAGAGCGTGATTTAAAAGGAAAGATGCAAGTAAGGATACCACCTTACATAGATTCTGACTAAGTGGGATTCTGCTCATTATTTGCACAATTTGCACAAAATCAGAAGATAGTTTTGAGAGTTTAGGCAATTAAAGAAGGACGTTGGCTAGAAAGTGTTCGCACAACAATATTAATAGCGGAAATGATAGAGAGCGAGGAACATTGAAACTAGACAATTTCGGAACAGAAGTTCCATTTCTTTCAACTGAGTGTTTGAGATGCTTTTTTGGCCTATAAGAACCCTACACCTTTGGCCCAACACGCCTTGGCTAATTGAGTTGGGTTAGATGAGAAACGGAAAACTTGCTTTCATGGGAATATATTTTCCCATTATTTTCCATATGGGAAAAATAACTACAATTGGTTTCACTGCAATAAGAAAGAAGAATAAGTCCTGATTGGGAAATTCGACATGGAAGGAATATTGAAAGTCAACAAACAGATACAGCAAATAAATTGATATAGGAAGGTCTTTGTTTGACATTACTACGTGTAGATCGGAGCTAGGTTGTGGTATTGTAATTAAAATACAGTTTTATATACATAATTTATTTCTAATTTCCGGTAGATCATCTCTATGTACTAGCATATCTATACACTTACTTGATCTAACATACCATATTTCAAAGAAAATAAAGCTCCATAGGTAAACTTAAAACGGTTACGTCAATGTTTGAACTAGTTACTCCACCAAGAGAATGTGTTAATTAATATTAAACAATATCAATTATGATTGAAGAATAATTTCAGCCATTAATTATTAAGGAAGATATAATCTCGTAAATATATTAAAAGAATCATTAAAAAATTATCGATGAAAAGCGTACCGAACAATAGCAATTAAGCTTTTCTTTGAAATTGAGATTTAGTGCTCGTCTATTACTAGAACAATGCGCTTTTGTTAACTTTGAGATGTTAAACATTAATACGTAGGGGTCGAATGAGATTAAACTACGGTTGCAAATTTGTTATTACTTATTACAAAGATAACGGAAATAAATAACTGAAAAATAACAAATTAAAGTAAATTTATACAAAATAAATTGAAATGTGAAAAACTTTTTAAGTCTGTTAGTTTAATCCAACATTGACGGGTATTAATGCCAGTTTTCCTCAAAAAGAGCCCCATAAAATAAACTCCAGATTATTTTTTTTTGTATTTCAAAAGTACTTTCATGGTGAATAGTGGATTAACAAAGCGAAAATGGCTGTATGATTTTCAATGCGGTTTTGAGTAATTTTCAATGGAACAGGTTTTTAAAGTAAAAGTTTTTTAAATTCATAAAAACATACTAATCCGTAAGCTAAGCTTATTTTAAAAAACGAAGTTTTTATCAATTCTATTTTGTACTCCAATTTCTACATCTGAAATAAAGGAAATTACATGGACAATACAGACTTAATCAAACATCTATCCCAACTTTATTCCAGTAATTTTCGCTAGCATCTTGTAACCCGTTTGTTAATTTAATGATGAATATACATTATATGGCCCTAGAGCTTGTATTTCCTTTGATGGTATGGATTAATGGTTTTAGAGATGCATTAGCGGTTATTGATTTGTGTGATACTTTTTATTCCTTTTTGAATAGGTGCACGATTTTCTCTGGCAAGATACCGCCCTAAGCGCCCACTTTCTAAACTGTTATTCCCTACAAATTGAACAAGAATTGAATCATATCTCTCTTCAATATTTTAAATTTAATAAAATCTAACTGGTGACCTACGATAAACTTATCTTTGTATTGGTTAATATACGGAGAACGTAAATCCGCGAAAACGTTTTAACGCATATGACCTTGACGTTAAATGATTGATTGCATCGAGTGCAAAGAAATACAAATTTAGTGTAAAATTTCGACTGGGACGTGGGGATTTTTCATTAATGCGGGGATTTATGGATGCCACTAAAAGATTTGGAATTCCCCATTTCGTACGCTAACAAAGAAAATTTAGCTATATAAACTCCGATGTGGTCTCTTGTCAACACAGTTCGACGACTGGTTTAAGAGTTCCAAAGTAGAACACAACAATTGCAACAATGAAATCGGTTTTTGTAATTGCAACTCTATACTTTGCTTCGGCGGTTGTTGCCCTTCCTTATCCCACAATACTTGAAAGTGAGGATGGTGATATTTATCAATTGGTACCACTAGAACGAGTTAGAAGGTAATTTTATAATTCAATTTATTTATACATTTCTATTTAATTAATTTAATTTATTTAATTTAACAGAGGAAGCGTTTATGGAAATGTTGATATCTCCGATCCAGGTAGACTTATTATTGGCGGTAGAGGAACTCCCATTGATAATGAAAACCATCGATTGGACACCCACGTGTTTGCAACCGATAATATTCGCCATCATAGTCCTTTAACAGTAGGTGGTGAAGCTGATTACTTACATAAACCAACCGGAAGTGTCGCACACTTAGCTGGAACTCATACCGAGCAATGGGGTACTGATTTAAAAGCATCTGGACGTTATAACTTTTTCCAAGATAAAACAACAAACGCTAACATTGAAGGCTTTGCCTCAAAACATATTGGGGGATTACCCGGAAATCAACCAACTGATTATGGTGTTATGTTAAACGTAAAAAAAGATTTTTAATGAGTTTATTGTTTTGTATAAATTTAAAATTTTTGTTAATAAATTTGTTGTGTTAAACTAAATTAGTTCAAGTATTTTCAATTTTTTATGATTAAACTTACCTGTTCGATTTTGTATGCATCCCACAAACACCATAAATAATATCGCCTATTAAATTTATTTCACATTGTAATATATTACCCTATAACATGCATCTCATTACGGCCGACACCACCTAGGAATAATTTAATACCCTTCGTATTTATCGCTGAAGCATGAAAGCGCATTAGTGAAACAATCACCTTCCCAAGCGATACAACGCATATCTCTTGCTACGAGAGCCAGCTTAACAGAACATGCTTCATGCACAAAATAAATTCATTATAAACAGCCAAAATTTACAAAAAAAATGTAAAAATTAACTATGTTATCTAAAAATAGGGTTGCTTAAGGGTGAAAACCTTTGGATTCAGGCCAGATCCTTGTCGAAGGAACGTTCCGGTAATGAACCAGAAGCTGTTGGAGACCGAAAACTGGTTTTCGACAATGTCGGAGTCCTGGTGGCAAGGATGAGGGTTGTTCCATTCGTAGGGTGAAAATCGTGCCATCACGAAGAGGGTGAACGAGACGAGCATGTAAGCGGCTAAGACGTATATCCAAATCTCGAACGCCAAGGGATTCATGAAACTGAATAGCCTTGTTGGTTGACTCGTCGGCACCTACGGCAAACTACAGCTTCAGGCCAAAGAGTAGTAATAATTAAAATGCATCTAATGAAACAATCTGGCAACGTTTTCATTAAGGGTAACTAGCTTAATTTCAGAAACAGATATTTTGTTACGACTCGGTGGTAATAACATTTTCAAGACTTTGTAATAAACATTTTATTAAAAATTGAGACATTTTAGAACTTTCATATGTTAACATCTACCTCCTTGACAATCAATATAACCTTTCATTTAAATTAATTGCTTTAGTAATTAACCCGGATATCTAGATTCTACTTTAATTATAGAGACAAAATTATAGATTTCTGCATAAAATAGCGAATAAAGCAAATAAAATTTTGGCGATGAAAAAGAGACAAAATTCGAATGAAACGATAATGTCACGCGTTAATACAATTATTACACAACCTTTCATTATCAGTTATTGGAAAGTCAGAAATCACCGTTTCAATAACAATCCATTTTTCTCAATCATCACAATCATTTTTTTTGAATTCTATATTCTTATTGTATGAAATTATACGGAATCAACAAGATGTAGCTAAGTATTTTTAAAATTATATTTACTAGAATGTTTGCAAAAGAATTACAAAGATAGCGGGAATTCTTCACATTGCCCTTAGTGAGACTTCCTTACTTTCAAGACTAATCTTATAACGCACATAGAACCTTTTGGTATGTTTCTCATTTAGTTGAACGGATGTGTTGTGAAAAACGTCTAAGCTTTAAATTTAAACGATTCATATGAATAAGTAATCTTGACCAGCTACAATTTTACGTAGAATAAAAAAATAAATTAAGAATTCTTAAGTTGTCAGGTGTTTTCACCAACTTTCAATCGTTTATCCAAGATTTCAATGATCAGCTTCAATTTTCATCATTTTAAAGAAGACGGACTAGCTATAAACCAGTTCTCAATCGAGTCCCGTTTAGTTTTCAATCATTTTAAACTTTGGATACTGTTTACAAAAGATTAGTTACTGCTGGCAGAGAACAAGTTACTGCTAATGGAAGATTAGATACTGCCAATACAAGAATACTAACTACTACCTGAAGAGTACTTATTGATGGCAGAATATTGGATGCTGCTGACGGAAAATTAGATATTGCTAAGAAAATGATAGGTATTTCTAGAGGATGACTAAATGCTGCTAGCAAATTATAAGCATGTTATAGTGTTTTTTGTCAAAAGTATATTAAGTTATCAGTCAATAATACTCTGCCATATGTTATTAGATACTATTGGAAAAAGAACAACAATTTAGAAATGTTTTGAATAATTACCAACCAGTTTTCAAATACTCAGTGCTCAGTCATTTTAACACATTTTTATTGAGTACCAACCATTTTTCAATCATTTCAAATAACTTGGAATAGCTCCTCAATGATTGAAATAGGTTTTCAAGAATTACCAAGCAGTCTTCAATCATTTTGAATAAAAGAAAATGGTTATAATTGAGCTCTAAACAATTTGGACATGTCTTAATTGAGTGCCAAACAGATTTTAATAATATTGAACAACAAGGGATAGTAATAAAGTAATTTTCAATCATTTAGATAAGCGTTCATTAATTATCATTATAGTTTACAACTATTTTGAACAAACTGGAATTAATGCGAACTATTTGTCAATCATTTGGATATGTTTTCATTGGTCGAATAATTAGTTTCATTCTTTAGTATTTTTTATTTATGAATAAGTATTTTCCGAATAACCTTCATTAGCAGTTTAAAAATGTATAAATATAAATTTACATAACATTTTACTATTTTCCTTTTACTTGAAAATATCATTATTACAGTGAAGAACATCATTAAACGACGAAGTAATCAATACAGCTTTTATATTTCATCTAGATGTTTCCAAAGAAACACGCTAATATTATTTTTAGTCTGATGCGGAGTAGTCTTGGAGTAATTGCACCCTCTTGAAAAGCTTGCATACCATCGTGTTTCTTTGCAGTCAGGAAAAACTGCAAATAGTTCATCACGTATCATGTACCCAATCCATTTCAACGGTATTTCTTATTCAAGATTCGTCGAAGCGGAAAACAAGATCTTTTGACTTTCATTCCGTTCCTGTATTACGAGGATATTATGCAAATGGACTATCGGACTACATACAATCCAATAAGTAATTCCACAAGTTAAATTTCTTGATTTTATTAAATTCCACAAGAAATTTGTGATAAATGAGTTTATTAATATGTATAAATTCATTCAATAATATCTGTTTATAAAACAAATAATACGCAGTACAAGCATTTCCAAAAGATTATGAAAGATGTATTTGATTTAAACCCTAAGATCTTTGATTAAGATGAGAAATGAACGTAATTTCTATTTTATTCGTCGATTCTGAAGAGGGCGGCCTTTAAATATCACAACATAATCTGCTTTACGATTTATCATTGTCAGTTCAGTGAATGACGGATTTTGTATTCAACTCCGAGTTGCGTATCATTCGAAAAAGGATTAAGATATCAGCGAGATTAACCATTCGCGCTTTCTCTTTTCCTCCGCTGTATTCCGCCGCATCGCAAATGGGAGTTTCAGTTAAAGTTCGCTGACTCGTTTCGACTTTATGCTGGTTTAAGTGAATCTATTGTTTAAATTTGGGCTAAGTTAGTGATGTCGTTACGTGGCACTTATAACTTTTAAACGCGCACCGTAAATTTTCCATGTTAGCTTAATAAAATGTAAAAGTTTTCTAAATTTATTTTAGTTTCAGATTTTTTATCTAATTTACATATTTAAATGTTCTTTTTCTTACATTAGCGGTAAATTTAAACGCCAAGTAATGATTGCAACATTATTGCAGGTTCTGTATATAAAATATAAAGATTTTTTTTATTTAATACTTTATCATTTAATTAAATGCTTTGCGAATCTCGTTGGTCAATATGAAAATTGGTGAAATATTTGGGTTATATACGAAATTTCCAATTAAACAGAATAAATGATGTGTAATAAACGATGTGAATTACCATTAATTTTTGAGTGGGTGGGTTATTATTCCTTTATGATAACGATCAATAGAGAAGCAACTCTTGTATTGAATATTTGATGAAGATCAAATTAAATTAAATTGAAGTTACTGTGTTTATTAAAGGGAATAGGTAATCATACAGTACAGTTTATAATGGTTTTGAAATGCTTTTTAATAATAATACGTTTTCTTTGTTTAGCAATCTTAGCAGCACAGCTGAAATTTATCATCAACTATTTAATTGGAGGTTTTCTTCAACTGCTTTTACGGAGGCAGGGGAATGATCAGTTTCTAACTTTCTAACCAACATTCTAAGAGTAGAGTTGTATACTTTCTGAGAATTTCCAGGAGAGATCGTAACGTTGAAGACATCAACTTTAGTTCATATTTTGTTTTGCATTTTAATTATATTTAACTTTTGTTGTAACTCTAGTTTTTATAATTTCCATGAGATTGTTGTTATAAATTACAGTCTAAATCAAAAATGTTTACAGAAATCATCATTTTTATTTTGGTGTATGTGGATCAAATGTGAGTCATAGAAACACCATAAATATCCATAAAATCTCTATTATCGCTAGTGTTTCAACAACAGAAATTCATGTGCCATTTTAATTTCCTGTTGGCTTCAATGATCCAACGATGTACGAATAGCTTGCATATCACATACGTTATGCAGATATGATATTCCAGAAGGCATCGGTACAGCGTTGTTATGTAGATTTCGAATTTGCATGTATTCGTCCATCCACATTTCTCCGCGCCAATAAAAGCAAACGAACACTTGGTTCGGTGTCATCGCCAATATTGAAGTATGTGACGACAATATACAGAGATATCTCGTTTTTGTTTTGCGATTACGAAAGAGTTGCGAGTTATCTTTTATTAAAAAAGTATCTAAAGTAATTAGTTATTTTAAATTCAGATTTCTTGGATGTGTAAGTAAATTACGTGGAAGAGGGAACGTCTATTTCTCAAGAGTCTAACCACAAATTTAAATGCAAATTTTGCTATTTCGTTTCCAGAGTTGTGTTACAGAAATACAATTCGTACAAAAGAATACGAAATGAATTGTCACCAGCTTAGGGTGTGTTTGTAAAATTGAATGAAATTACGTGTTTCCCGAAACGATTTTTTCAGGTTTTAGGGAGTTAAAGGGCAAATTCCCGTGTGTTTCTAGTTAATTTGGCAGGGTTTCCCGTTTCTTGGGTACCATACAAAAAGTCATAAATTCCGAATCAGACCTGTCGTGAGAGATTTATTTGTCCTGCAGTAAATTGGTTTCTTTCCGGACTATTAAGCTCTATTTTTTTGCGCCTACGTTTGCTAGACCTCGAAGAGGGAAACAGCGTGTCGATATTGTTCACCATTCGTGATTATTCGGGCTTAATGATAGTTAATCGTCGTTTAGAGATGCTCGCTACACCCATTTAAACCACGCGGTGTAAATTCGATGTAAACTCACATTCGAATCATTAAAACGATTCAAACGATTTTGGTTTTTCAGTACCTTGTAAATCTTTGTAACATTATTTTTTGAACTTTCTAAAATTATTTTATCTTACCTTAAATAAAATTCCTATTCCCAAGTTCATGAACGGTTTTGTGAAATCGATTACGCTCTCCCTCGCGTAATTTATCGTCATTGACGCAACAGCGAGATCAGCCCTCTGAAAACAGAAGAAGAAAAAAATACGAAACCATAAATCTCTTAAGGCTGAGACAATACAGGGAATCCGCCGTCTGCAATAGTAATGCGATTACATTCGTGTCCTTTTTTTTTCATCGGAAAAGTCTTGTTATTCGTAACTGGTGCTCGTGAGGTCTTAAATATTCAAACTAGGGGTAAAAAAGAATTTTTTTCAGCAACGTGACAGCACACCATAATTTTTGTTTCCCTTTAAAGCGATGTAATAATTTCTTGTTTTTTTTTGTAGAGGATTTTACGTCAAGGTGTCGTTGTAGATAGTAATTTATGTGTATTGGAAAATTTATTAATAATTTACTTCATATCATTCTAGAAATAAAATATTTATCCTTTATCTTATTGTTGGTAAATTTGATAAAAAGATGAAATGCGGTTATAAAGTCATCAAAAGCTTACCCTCTCCATTAATTCCCGCACAATTCCGTTCCATTCTTTGGTCTCTGGATCGTATACGCCATACATGTGGTCTGGAACCAAGCGTATGGAATATTGGAATCCAACTTGGGTTGCTATCCACTTTAGAAGGTCGATGCAGAAGCCCTCGTACCTGGCGTTCCCCGTTAAATTCTTGTCGTCCTTCTCCATCACGTACGGCCTCTCCTGGAATTCAGGTAAAGGACATTTTCATTTCAATTGAGATCAAGCATAGAAGTCTCGTGATGTAAACGGGGGGAATTCGGGAATACTTTGTGAATTGGTTTTGAGAAGTCATCTACGCGGGAGGATTATCGGGAAATTAATTTCTAAGTTTGAAAAGATCACGTTGTTTTTTATTTACGTTGAATGATTCAATTAACGGTTAGAACGAAATACTCTAAACTCCAAATGATGTCCATTAAGATTTAATCTACATTTTTTCATTAAAAAAAACATATTTAAAGATAAAACGGTCGTTTTGTTCGTAATTGCACCGTTCTCATGAATATCCACGGAGTAAAGAGGAAAGAGAAGTCGTAAAAGTGATGGATTCGGATATCTCTAGCAATTTCTCAAGCGAATTACGTCGATTTGACTGGTTTTAATAATAGCTCATGGAAGAGATCGTTTCGAAAGTGGATTGAATGCGCTGATAAAAATAAGTTCTGGACATTAAAATGCATCGAAATGAAACTTTTCGATGGTGACGGCGATGGTTCTTAGTTAAAAAGCCCGGACGTGGCGATCTTTAATCTCCGCCAATTATGGAGATGCCGGGGTTATTCCTATCCGTTGAGTGGATCTAATTATCAGACCGTGAGAGATTGTAATTTTGAGATGAGGTCGCATTAAAGCGTGCGATTATTAAATTAAGCTTTATTAGTTTTCTCAACGCACCCGATAATAGTTTAAAATTGAAAATTTTTAATAACCTATTTCCCACCAAATTTATTTTTAATGTAGAACAACTAAACTTTATCGGATTTTATCTTTATATAGAGAGTTTATGGTTACAACATCTTATTTGGTTGCATAAATTCTTAAGGTAAGGTACAGACAGATGTAATTTTATGGTTAACGGAGACGATGGAAATCCTTTATTAGTTTTATGGGCAAATATATTAGCGGACGCCCGATCCTGGTAGACATTATTCTCACGTAAAACGAGAAAAGTTAATTTACATGTGAATGGTGTGCGAACTCGTGCTTCGTCCGTAATGTTCTTGTTACACGTATTCCGTTTCTGGTCCTGCGCGCACGCTTTTAAATCGCTTTCCGGTTGAGACCGGAAGTAGTGTCGGTCTGGCTTAATGAATCCTTTTATACATTTTATTTATGTGTGAAAAGAATATTCCAATTCTTTTCGATACGGTCAGATAACTTTTTAAACTTTACCATAACATACAAAAAATATACTTTTAGGTATTTCAATAGAATTGTAAAATACACAATTGACATAACTTAGTTTATGATTGGATTTTTTAACAAAATATTTAACAACCAACAAAAAGTCGAAGCACATTTATAAAATATTTCAAACAATATTCATATTTATTAAATAAAATATTTTTAAATAAAAGTATGTCTGTGTGCGTACTTTTATTTGAATCAATAAACTCATATTATGCACGCATAGATAAATTACAGGCTATGGAACGCGAGTAAAACACATTTATGATTTAAAACCAAACTCAAAAATATTTCCATAGATGATTAGTTTCGGAAACACAGATGGATAGGTTAATGAATCTCACAATTAAGAAGGGCGTTGATAGTCTATGAGACAATAACGGAAATGGGCACAAAGACTAAACTAATAATATAGCTGATGAAGCAATTCTGCTGTCCTTTCAGTTTAGCACTCAGCTCAACTCTTCATATAGTCAGTATGATAATCTATGCAGACGATGCAACAATTATGGCAGAAACGGAAGATGATTTTCAATGACAATTTTTTAAATTGTATCAAATAAACCAGCAACTCAACATGAATATATCCATTAATAAAAGAAAAGTTATAATAATCGCCAAACAACCAATTAGATGCAACCTTATGGTGGAAGACAAACTCATCAACCAAGTTGGTAAGTTCAAATGTCTTGAACTGGATATATCCAGCAGTTATGACCCAGCAAAAGACTTAAGAAACCAGATCAATAAAGTGATATTTCTATTAGGCTGCGTTATAACGTGCAGAAACGTGTGAAAACGTTGCGAAACATCCTCAATAAGACTAAAAAAAACTCGATAAGAAACATAAACATAAAGAAACGGTGTAGTTTCTACATCATACAGATAGGGGAGACAGAGAAGAAGAGGATGGTATGGTCATGTGAAGAGGAATACCATCCATAATGGAAAGACAGCCACGTTGCATTTTAATAGAACAAAACTTTTAACATAAAATTTTGTGCAATCACTATACAATGTGTTGAGCCAATGAAGCTCTTGTGCAAGGTGTTTTGTAATGTAGGGATTTCCAAATTCCCAACTTTCCCACTTTTACGTTTTACGTTTGTATGTTAACACAATAACTCAAAAACATAGTTAATTTCGGCACCGCTATAATTAAATATATGGCTATTAAAGTCGTAAATTGATATCAATTTTTCATATAGACATATTAAATAATAATAAACGGTTCATATGTGTTCTGTTCGTTTGTAATTATGAAAACCATTAATATTACAGATATACAGATATAAAATTTCAATCAAATTCAATAACTATATATGTATAATTACCCAACTATCACTTTTATTTTAGATAAATTAATCAAATATTGTACAAGCGTTTATAATCACGATAAATATTCATAAAATTTCAATTAAAGTGCGTAATCGAAATTTATCGGAAAGTTTCAGCCGCATTTGGAAATTACTAAACTTTTCTAAATTTAATATCCCACCACTTATCGATGGACGTTTAGCAAATGTTATTCTATCATTATCATATAAAATGTGAAAAAGTTGAGTAAAGTCGCTCCAGTTAATTTTTACATTATGTGTTGAACATATCATAATATATTTTGGAAATACAAGCTACCTGTTAATCTATATATTGATTTACAAACATGCTGTTGCTTTGACGTTTCGGGCTGTTTGTGTGGCATTACATATTTGCTGTGTATACATTCCTTATTCTGATTATATCGTACCATAAACCTTTGTAAATATAATATTTTGATTTGTGAAGACTATATTTAAAATGATTCCGGCACCTCCACCCTTTTTAATCGATTTCTTCGTTCAAGTGAGATTCTCGACGTCTCTTTATACTGTCTGAATCAATTTAATTGCCATACAAATACTTAATAATTTTTCTTAGCATAAGGCATAATTTAGTAAGCATTTTTATCGGAGGATGGAATTTACAATGCTTTATCAATAATTTTAGTATTAATCAAGTACCTCGAACGTTGATAACTGCTGGAGTTTTTTTATTATATTATGTCTTAAAATTTATAAGGAAATTTATCCCGCTCAAGCGTGGTTATCAGACAAAAAAGTGCTTATGTCAAATGAAAAAGACAACTGATTTGAATATAAAAAGCTATACAGATGTCCAAGATGTGATCCATAACAATATTTGCTAAGATGTGGCTAAATGACCTTACTTATACATTGCTTATACATCATTCCATTGAACCTGAAAATCGCTAACTTTCATACAAACGTATTATCAAACAGCAAATTTAAAGGAATCACTGTGTGGAGCTGCAAGATACGAATCTGCCTTAACACGATCAAAAGACTCCAATAACTCTACGACGTCTTAAGAGGCTAAAGTAATATCTTTGATTCATTTCACCAAAGAGGTCTTTGATGTTGTAAGATTTCAGAGTCGATTTTAGAAACAAAAATTTTTTAATGTTATCTTTCAGTTAACATAATAATCGACAAGTTTCAGTAACATAGAAGCAAAACGTAATCTCATATAATCGAGATTGTGCATTAATTGGAATAGGATTGGACGAAAATTAATTCGGATTATCGGTTTAGTTTGGATACTTCAACGATGCCGAGATTATCGATGCAATGTATACGGGGAAAATTAAATTTTCATTTATTTTCTACTATGTGTTATCGCATAACTTAAAACTTATTGTTATATCGTATGTGTACTTATCAAGGAACTTAAGTGATGGATTATAGGAATCCCAATATTGTGTTTGGTCGCAATAGTAAAGAATAAATATACATTTTAATTTTACAATAAATGTTTGAAAAGTAAGCATAACTTTTCTTTTCGCCGATGTAAGTTATTTTCGGGTTCATCGATTTTGGTTTGTATTTATCAGCTACCTAATTTTTGTAACTATTTCTACAATTATTTCTTTATGGTATCAACAATTACCCAACAGGCTTAACTTCACTGGTTTTGTCCAGTCGAAACAGATGTAAAAATTTTGCATTTAGTATTTGTTTCGTTATCATGGTTTTAAGACTTCCAGATGCGAGTTCAAAACTTTTGATTAAGATTTTTACTCGCGTTGAGCTATAGTCTAAATAGTGCGACTCTTGGTGTACGGAATTAGCCCAAAAGTTTATACAGTTCCACAATTTTAGTGTAACAATCATGTACCAAATTTCATAATTCCAATAATTAATTGCATTTTGACTTATTTTGCTTTTGAAAGTATAGAAAATGTATAGATTTAACAACATTTCTCAGAAACTGCAATACTGTCTAGATTTGCTCCAAAATGACTCCATGTAATGAAATCCATGTCAATATACGAATAGAAACTGTTAACGTTATAAATGAGATGAGAACCTATAAAGATACACTAAAACTGCTCTGGGAATATGAAATAAAACGATGGAAAACTGCTATCCGAACAAATATCCCGAAACTGCAACGATTTCAATCCAAACTACTCTAATAAAGTACGACCACCACAAATTAAATCTACTTGTTAAGCAGAATAGCGTTCAAAAATCAATACAACGCAATACACGGAGGAATAAGTTAAAGTAGTTAAATAAAATGTTTCAAGCAGTTAAGTATTATTTAATTATCATTTTGATTAAAAATAAAGATATTGAAACATTTTCATTAAAATATTAAATAATTAAAAGAAAAACTTTGTTTTTTCTGTATTTGCGCATAGATTATGCGTTAATTAGTTCAAAATAGATTCAAACTCAGTTTGTGGATAGTGTTATCATGAAACGACAATTTGCAGTAAAAAAATCGATTTTAATTTTTTTTTTGTGTATTGTACCAATAGAATGCTAAAGATAACGTTGACTTTAAGCGTAAAATTTAGTACGATAAGAACTTAAAATTTAGTGTTTTATTCTGTCCCACGCAAAGCTTTGTACATGGAGATAAATTTCCAAAAATGACCAATAAATAATCGGTCGAGTAAGACTTGATAGTCTGCCAACGCATTGAGATGGTAGACCATTACGTTACAGTGAAAAATTGCTCAACCGACGATTTCTTTAGATACTGTTTTTAACCCGGTCTTTACAGAAAATCTTAAGTATAAGATCTTTATTGATAACGTATTAAATTTGATATACTGGGTGTAAATTAACGATAACTTATTACTTTAAGCGAAATTGATTTAAAATTTTTATTGTGTAAGTGGAATTTTAGAAAAGCTTTTGATAATAAATTGTAATTATGTGAGATGCAAGCTAGTTAACTTGCAAATTAAAAGTGTTAATGATGTGTAAAACTTTCCTTAATTGTGTGAACTTCCCATATCAATTTTTACTCGAATTTAGTGAAACAATTTTCATAACGTGTATGGACTAAATGACAATCTCGAGACTAACGGAAAATAATTTAAAAGTTTTCACTTACATTAAAGTTTGAGTTTAATAAGTTAGTACTTGGCTGTAGTCACATAGTATTCTCGGAAAACTTACATTCCCTTGGTGACGAATTTTTATTAAACGAAAAGTGTCGCGCAACGACGACAAGCATTTAATATGTACCTGATTTAATTCATTTGTTCCACTGCTCTCGTAGAACTACCGCTGTAAAAGTTACGTTAGTTAGTTGGTTAGATCTAACTTTGTAACTTAATCATAGAACGACGGACGTGCTGCAACCATTTCCCTTTCCTGATGCCTACACAGCACACCAAATGCACTTTTGTATGTCCGGCGTTTGCATAATTTGCACAACTGGGAATTAGTAACAGTCAACACTGGAGAAACTGTTTTTTCTAAGTTAAAACCACAAACTAAAAACTTATGTTTAGTTAAAGTTAAAAAAATTTGTAACTAATTTTAAAGTTTTTAATTAATCATGTGTCTTTAATGAAAGTAATTGAAATAATTGAAATTTTAGAGATACAAATTTAAAAAAAGTAATAAAATTAACATTTAAATTTAAAGATATAAAATACAAATCATTTGTTATAAAACTTACCTCTCTGGTCATTACGATTAACGTGATATTCGGTGCATGGTTATCATAAAAAGCAGCCGGATCTGTAATATTAATTCCACCTGATGGTGTCCACTGGCCAACTTTTAGTACTTCCTCTTTTTTTAACTTCAATAGGTCCAGTTTGAAATTCGCCCTTTTTCCTTCGTTAAATTCTATTAATCCAGTTAGCCCTTGAAAGCCAGACTGTAAAAGAGTGCATGAAAATCCTATTAATTTTATGTTCTCTATTAGTATGCATAAAACGACAGCACGACCCTCGATATTTATGGTTTAATTTAAAGATCGCGACTACGCCAGACCAAAATTATTATAATGCATTCAAACTTTAGTGTCTGGAATATTTCTCGTCTTGTATAAAAACAAAGATTAAATGGGTCGTATAAAGAGAAGACTCGGCGCCCGCCGCTGAAAATATTACCCCGGAAAGCACTCACGGGTCTTACACAGAGAAAAGTTGTAAAGTTTCTTGTAAACGTAGTAGTGGTATAATCGTTTTTAACAGAATAAAAATTCAATTTTCATCTTGTAAATATTTTTGAAGATTCATTATATACTTTACGTATAGTTGTAAAAAATATGAACTCTTAACGTATTCACTATACTCTGTTTTTAAACCAGGAGGAGTAAACGCGAAAGTCAGATTTACACTGGAAAAAATCACCAGAAAATATCACTAGATATTTTGGCGGTAAATTTAAATTAATAATTATTATTAATACTCCTCCTGGTTTAAAAATAGAGTATAGCTTTAATTGAATACATTTGTCATCTTGTGATGATGTATGCGTTGAAGTCTGACGCGTGGTGAAATTTGATACAGCAAATGAACGTCGGATATGTAAATGCACCTTGACAAATACGTTATTACTCCTCTACGTTCATTTATCATGCTCTAGTGAGGAGACGACGAATGTGAATAAATAATATTAGTATGCATGAAACGAGGTCTGGATAACCAGTTCTGCACCACTCATTTTACATAAATATTTATTTATTTTAGTTTATACTATACTATGTACTTACTAGGGGGTTTTAAAAACTCATGATCAAGGAGAAAGAATCATGAAGTTTTAAGTTCAAAATGGGGAATTAAAAAGTTTTTTAGTAGAGCTATATTGAAAGTCTCTAAAAAGGGGAAAACGTTCGTCAAATACACAAATTTAAAATTAGCCTCCTTGGGTTTTTCCATAATCTATTCCGTTAAAGTAAAAGGAGTCTTCAAAAAAAGCACAATTCGACTCGGTCGGCAAATTCCCTAGGAATTCTAAATTCTACTCACCACAGCGTCAATGTAATTATACAAGGACAATCCGTCATCCCACGGCCGTTCCAGATCGCAAGATAAATTGGCAGGTTTTATTGAGTGACCCGAATCCATTGCCGCCAAACCCTTAGAGAAGACGTATACTGAATCAAACATTAGGGCCGGTTCCGCCTGCGAAGAGAGACTAAATTTCAGGTCGCGTACCAACCAAAGTCATACACAGATTTTCACAGATATCATTTCACAATCCTATTGAAAATAGACTAGAATTTTTGAATTTCAAAATTTTTCATAATTTTCTAATACAATAACTAATAAATACCCAGAAAATGTATTTATGCCCGTTTCTTGATTTCTTTCTTTAGAAAACGTTTTCTCTCGGTATGAAATGTCACATATTTCGCGAAACCATATACGAAATTGCTGTAGTACGAACGTGACCAAATATGCACGTCGACACTAACGAGATTTGGCTGGTTGCTAGTAAGAAGGCCCGGAAAAGCAGAAGCTATTGCGATTGCATGCAAACCGTTCAGTTACCTGTATAACTCCGCTCCTGTTTAGTATAGACTTGCCGATGGGTTGGAACTTCTCCATAGTATTGAGAGCATCCTGAACTTTAGGATGCTCCAAGTCTACAATTCTGAACGCAGTTATGTTCACCGAATTGTATTTGAAATCTTCAAGATCGAATATTTCTAAATCCTGCAAATTGTTAAAACGTTTTATTTAAAGATTATATTTTTAAAATCATTAAAATTTAGAATTTAAAAACAAAGAAACTATGAAACCTTTACAATTTTCTTCTCATTCGAAACTGGAAATGTTCCAAATGCTGGTAAATAGAGAATACGAAATGGAATTTGAACTTGTCAACAACTTGCGAATCGGTACATCGCCAATTCAATAAGTTTCGGTGAGTGTTTGCGTTATTCTAGCCGGTACGTTTGAACGTGTGCGAACTTGTTTGCGGGCAAGGCGTTTGTACGTATGTGTAAACGTCGAAATTGCACGGAAGTGGTAATTTTAAATGCACAAACGAAATATACTACGCGCTCGCAACCTCACAAAAGATTCTTTAAATGTAAAATGTGCTGTTTTATAATTGGTATTTCATATTCATCATTTTAATTAGCATTTTATATGCAAACCAATTTCTATTACTGAATTCATTGTCGTTCATATCCATATGAAAGTCTATGGAATCACGTGATATTAATGAGAATTCCATCGATTCCTAAAGCAAACTCGTAGTTCTAATAAGAATAGATTCCTTAGAAATTGTAAAAATGTTTATATTCAATTAATATTTTAAAAATTATGACAAATCATGTACTCGCATAAACAATAAAAATTGGATATGTATTGCAATTCCAATTTAAGTTGATACAACTCTTTTTGCTTTGCACTTAACGTCATAAACGTGATATTCTGAAAAATAGCAGTATATACCAATTGTGCAAACTGCAAAGTTGTGCATATTAGACAAACTGGACAAAGCTTGGGCTAACGAACGCGTGGATACAAACAAAGAGCCAATTCCAATTTTTTTAAGCGCCATTGAAAAACAGAGGATAAAATAGACGATGGCGACGTACCTACTTCATCGCTACGTTAAAAGCTACCTCGAATATTACAAAATTTTCAAACATGTTTTTTAATATTACTGTATCGTATTAATTAATAACTTCTATTATGTCAAACAAATTGTGAGTACCGCTAGGTGGTTTCCATCCTGCTTCTATGTTTAAATAGGAAATAGGTTTTGACAATAGAGACAAAGATCTGACGATCACTTAGCTATCCCGCTTTCGATATTATCTTCATTATCTATTCATTAATCATGATTATCTGTAATTTATTTATGCATATAGTTTATAATATAGTAAATTCATTTAATCTGTATTGCAGCAAATTTAATTTAACTGAAATTGATAATGAGACAATTGGAATAATGACAATTGGAGATTTCTTGGGTGTTCGTGGTATTTGTAGTCGCGTTCTAGTTCTGGAACAGGAACATATTCTGATTAGAAGTGTCACCGACATTGATAAAGTTTAATTTTTGTTGTGTTCTCTTTTAAGTATTTTTTCTCTGGTGTTAATTATGTCAATTATTATCATTTTATTATCAGAAAGTTCTTGAACTCAGAGTTTGATATCTACTAATTTGATACAAATTCTGTTTAGGCTTTCTCCAATCTGTCTTTGGGGTGGTTCATTGTTTGCGGATTGCTCAATTTTTTTCCTAGTAAGATTTATGAAATAAGCATAAACATCGATAGTGTTCTGAACAAAATAACATCATATTTCTGATATATTTAATGTTTCATTTAAATGTTCTCTCTACGCATGTTGCTATTTCATTGATTCATCTATAGCTTTATGTCGTATGCCATATCTAATATAAAACAATTGTTGTCTTCACATCAAAAACAGTAAAATTTAACACTTTCTCAACCATAAAATTAGTTTTCTTTTCGATCTATTTCGATATTTTTCAGTACATAGTGGTTGCAGATGCTTCCTTGCAACGATTTTCTTGATGATCATGTCTCTATTTCATCAATAATATAAATAACTATTATTCGATACATCATTTCTTAACATATCATTATTTTACAAATAATTGTTCGTTTAAAGTTACCATCATTAATAATAAAAGCTCATTCAAACTTTAAAGTGTCACATTTACTATTGAAGTTATAAATTGTAGTATCTACGTCGGTCTATTACATTATAACTTCTTATACCTTTTCTTATTACGAAAAGTAATAGGAGACTTTGGACGCTGAATAAATTCAATTATAGTGTCACACTGGCTTAGCAAACATTCTCTATTTGGTCAATATTCTTGAGCACGTAATGCCCAGATTTATAGCCTTTTTATGTAAAATGTGAACGTGACCGAGAAATTCTATATCGAATTTTAAATGTAAAACTGTAAAACATTACGCTGGAATTATTTATTGATGTAAAAATGATACATATATAGGTAATAATTTTTGAATTAGTTTATTAGTACTAAAAGAGTCCAGAAACGTAAAGTTCTAATTAATTAGATTTTACTGAACACATGAAATATCCCAGATGGACCACTCAATTAAAATTTATGGGTGACAGATGGTGGAAATTTTCTCCGATGGTCAGTGCTGATGTTCTGGCATATCTCACTTTGATATATTATTGTTCGCGTCACATTCAATACTGCCCAGAATTAATTGTTAAATCATATGTAAAAATCATATTAATAAATCAATTATACTTACGAAACTTGTGAACATATAATGGTATCGATAGTCATTCATTTGGAGTTGAAGTATCTGCGAAAGAGATAAAACATCAATATTAGAAAAGCCATTAAACTGAAATTACTTTAACAGCGAGTTTGCAGCTTCACTTTAAAAGCGAACCCTTTTTGTGGACATTAGAAACTGACGGTTAGTTTTAAACGGGGCTTTAGAAGATCCTATCGACAAAGCCCTTTGAGGTAAAACTATAGCCCGATGTGAAGTTAAACTCCTGTTTACAAACTTTAAACCCCATTTCGGTTTCATTAAGCGCGCGTAATTTTTTGAATCCGTTTTACCAACTCGGTAACAGAAGATTATCTCCCGTTCGTGATCGGTATACAAACACGCTTGGACAACATCAGTAAAAACTTACCGCTCGAAAGAATTTCTGAATATTCTTGGGATTAGTGTCGACAATTAATTTGTAGATTTCTTTCTGTCGAACTTCTCGAAGTATTTGTCTATAGGTGTTTGGTCCCGCCTGACGTATATAAAGTTCAATTCTTGATATGGATGGAGTTTTTACAAGTTCTTGAAGCTTAAACAATCCTGAAATTGCATTAAATATATTTAGTGACAATTTAACTTAAAAAAAAAAAAACAAAAACACATGCGACAAATATGTTATTATATATAGAAAAAGTATTGGAAGTTAAAGCTAAGTAGTTTTAATTCATGCAAAATATTGTTTTTTTATTAATTAAAACGTAAGTTATAAAAAGTAAGGTAAAAGTAAAGTAAATAACCGGCCATTTTAGATAATCCCATAATAAGAAAGTGCTTTTTAAAATTTTTATATAACAATTTTAAAAATAACTCTTAATGCAACCCAAGCAATATTTCTCTATTGTGATATTTCCGGGCGAAGACATGAATAACGGAATATTTGCATTTTAGTTCAGTTACAGTGATACGCGCTAATTTATCGAATCTATATTCACCTCGATGCACTGTTTTGCAATGGATGCGTTCAAGTGGAAGCTGTGGGAGCGGTGAAAGAGATCGTGATGTCATCAGTAGTTACGATCGAATAGACGTTTGATTTTCCCCCAGCGTCTATTTGAACGCAATTAGTAATCTCCGATTCACGGAGTTTCGATTTGGTTTGGTTTGTATTCATATCACATTTCGTATGGTTTCATAACTTCTACAACCTCATTAATACTCGGTTTATGGCCAAATCACAGATTATGTTCATAAATGAAATTTTTTAGCTTAACTCATCGTGAGTAGCCACCAATATGACAAAGTAACAAAGTATAAACGATGACTCTTTGTTTTAAAAAAAGATTGTTTTATATATGAGCCAGACTCGAATTGACCCCTCTGAAAAGCTATGCTTATTTATAAATGAGGACGTGTTAGGAGATTTTTTTTTGGCACGGAGGTGTGTTGTAAGTGCCACGGATGATATTGACTTTATTATTTCCTATTTAACAAATTCTTTGTATCGGACAAGGATATGTATTTTACTCCGTTAAATATTGCGCGTTTAATCTGGTTTTCTTGACAGTTAGAGCAGGGAAAGCTCAATTGATAAAAAACTATTCAACTGCAACATTCAGTGTTTTGAAGTACTGGTTCTTTACGTCAAGCTTGAGATGCAATGTTTGGGTACTTTTTTTGGGTTCACAGATTATGTCGACCTAGATTGTTCCACTTGCAAAGATAGCAACTTTATAAGACCACCATCCAATTCATCCATCACTATTCATTACATCACTCAATAGAATCCCTCTAGCCAATTCAATTCAGTTTCTGCAATCCAACCTTATAACATTGCATTTAATAGCTGTTTAGTCTTTAATAGCAGCCTAATTCCTAATACTTCCAAATTGTAAACCATAATCATAGTCTATTTAAAGCAATTCCCACCCAATCAATAAATCATTTCTGATACTTACTCGCTAACTTCCTAACTGTCTTAGTCATAAATTACATATTTGTGTTATTTTTTTGAGACAACCATATAAAAATACATAAAATGTGAGTATAAACGCAATCTGGCCAACTTTTTATATTAAATATCCACTGCGTTTCTATACTCTTTCAGTGTTTTCGGTTCTACTGCGGGAACTGGTTTATTGTGTAATGTATCTTGGGAAAAGGTTTCAAATTAACGGAATTTCCCTCGCATTGTTCGCAAGTGGCGTGTATTTTTTGTAGCTTCAACGTTCAACCGCATAATGCTTTATAGCGGCTGGACAATTTCATTGTCCGTATTCATACAATTGGATACAGTGATTGTGTGTAACGTGCTCGTTTTTAGATTTTGTCGTAATTAAAAACTTCCTTACGGCAAATTTTAACAAAACATCCTGTTGATTACTTCTGCGTTCTTAGAGCTATGTAACAGCATTCAAAGATCGTAAATTAACTTTTCTTCTTCTTTTTGCTCAGTTTCTGCTTATATTTTTAGTGACATGTGTTCAATGGTGAATAGATAGTGACTACTAAATTGCTTAAATTCTAACGTTATATCTAATCTACATCTAATGTATGTACTGAGACGCTGTTCATATGTTACCAAGATTATTATGTCTTTATCCTTAACTAACTTTTAATAGATGGAGATCTAGACATACTTATTCTGTGCTTCAATACTAGCTTAATATCAACATGAAGAAGTCATCAAGAATTATTATATTATCTTCTGAATCTTTTCTTTAAAATATTGTATCTTATTTAGTGATCTCATCTTAATCCAGGATGCTAGTCATCAAAAGATGCGACTGTCTTTGATCTATAGTTAGTAGTTGGGAGTCGTACCAGGTGTTTTAGGTGAAAACGACGCTTCTGTACTTTTTTTACCTATTTTGTACTGTTTTTTTTATTACTGGCCACAGTGCCACTGTTGTGGCAAACCTTATGATACATGATTTTGTAGTAACCACTATCAGTACTTTTTTTACCAGTTTACTTTTTTCTATAGTAATACAAGTTGACCCAACAAAGAATCATTTCCTTAACTTTGTCACATTAGTAGCGAATTAAATCACAAATCAATTTGAAAAATCACCTACATTCCCCAATGAAAGTAAATTTTCTTATTTTTTCAGATAGTTTCTATTCATAAGATACTCTCTAAACAGATATTTCGAAAGCGGAATCAGGATGTTCCGATAACCGCCTTTCTGTAGATGTGATACTTTCAATGCGCTTTTGAGGTTGCACCCTCCGGGCTTACCACAAATTGTAAATATGAATGTAGACCTTAGTATTTCGTGTATCAGGATGATAATATTATCGATTCGAAATTTTTTGGCTAACAATACATTCATACAACGAGTTTTCTCGTAATTAATTTACGATGGAATAATTTGGTTTGGTTTTTGGAATAAACTAATTAAGTTTAAAAAAATAGAAACTAGTAAAAATAAAAGTTAATTTAAATAATTTAACAAACAATGCAGAGTGATTTAAAAGTTGAATTTCGAAAAATATTAGTTTAGATACGCTTCATACAATATGATAATATGATTAAAGCATGCATCTAATGTTAAATATAAAAATTTAATTTCAGATTTTAAGAATTAGAAGAAGGTTGCAAACCTTTTCCACCAACAAGTGGGACTGTGGGAGAAAAAAAGAAAGAATGAAAGTAGGCGGTTTTGTTGTACATAGGTAGTCTTTATGTGTTACTGTTAGTGACAAAATGGAACCGATAAACAGACGGATATGAAAATTAAAGTGGAAAACGGCGTTTGAATATAAAATATCTGTTAGTGTCGTGTGTACGTTCGCTGAACGTAGTATATTCGGACGGGCGCGTAATTTTCGCTTGAGCCGTGTGAGTTGATGGCACTGCAACGGCCGTTGCACCCGTTTTGTGGCCTCCGTGTTATTCAGGATATAAATTTTCCAATTTCACAACGTTCTACTCACCGTAATCCTCCTCATATATGATGGCAACTTTAGTCCAATTCAGAAATGTCATGAGGTCCTTGAAAGCTTTATTCATGTGCTCCTGGCTCGGATGCAAATTGATGGAAAGTTCCTTAGAGAACGGCTCGAAATCTATTCGTGCCTCTAGGTGAGGCACGTCCAGAGCTTCGCAAATACTCTGAATGTGTGGTCCCAGTACAGGGTCCGACGGTCCAAATATAGCCTGTACACCGTATTCCATTTGCCTACATGCTGTAACAAATACAAGAACGTAACTATTTTATTTATTTATTTATCTATAAATAAAATAAGCATTTCTTTTTGTAATGGAAAGATAAAATTTTGTGGTCACCACCCCAACACACGTTATGACTCTAAAGTGCTCAATTGGGCACGCTAAATGAACTCTGACTCGGTCGTGCTTGCTATCTTCACGTCATGTGTTTCCCCGGTATTCCTTTCCATCTAAGTCGCTTGTCTCGTATTCCACCCTCGAAACTGTTAAGCCGTCGTTTAACTTTATATTACCTCCCATTTGCATTTAGCGGGATGAATGTACAATTACGACCTTTGAACACACGAAGCAATTATGGAGGGTTGTAAACTCTTTTTGCGACCGAAAGTAAAACTCGTTTGGCTTCGAAACGTCCGACCGCGGGTCATAATCGTTGTGACACTGACTTTAAATTTCTTTAAGATGAACTTTTTTTCAAAAGAAAAAAAAATCGTAACCGTTACGGTTACGGTTGACGCAATATTGCTTCCATCATTTAACATTTATGTGGCCATCGCGTTTATATTTTGTACTTACAAATTCATGTAGTCATTTCAAACGTGAATATGTCGTAGTAAATGCACTCTATACCTATATTTAGATATATAAAAAGGAATGAATGTTGTAAAATAGAAATGAGTTCGCATGCACACCTGCTCTACAAATTAGAAGGGACGAAATTGTAACGTAACGCGGTTAGGGTAACGTTAAAGTTAGCACGTGTTGCACGCCCTTTTATCGCTTCCATTTGCGTCGTCACTGTGAGCCTTTCGCAAACGGTATCAAACAAGGACGCCAAGAGCTAGATTCTCGCAACGGACAAAGTTGGCGAGTTAAAGTGGCGCTTCTGCAGACTGCTTCTTGAATACTGCATACGCAGTGATTGTGTGTATCCTTGCGTTACTCGTCTGGCAAATTGCTTCAAGTCGTTTAGCCCACTGCTCCGAACAATACGAACCACTCCGGCCAGAACATTAGCACTCTTTTATTATTAAACAGTTTCAGAGGAAAACCCCGCGGTAGTCTTGTTTTATTTATGGAAGCTTGAAAAACTCGCAAGAGCTTTTGTATCTATCTAGATGATTTAAAAAAACAATTTACGTTAAAACCAAAACAAGAAATAATAAAATACATTTTACTCATTTAAAATATAATGTGAGTTTTCTGTGTTAATAATTTTTTCTTTTTTATATCTTTGTAATTCATCTTGAATTAAATATCATTGATTTATTTGTTTGTAATAGCCAAAACATTTAATTTGCACTTTAAATTGTTTGAATGAATAATTTTAATGCACACAAATTCGAACAGCTATCCACACCGTTGCGTTCTGTATTAGTTAGTTCTACTTTTAGTTTAATGAAAAATATTCAACAATCTAACACTGAAAAACAACTAATACAAGAACTAACACTTTTTCTACTTTTCTACTTTTTCTACTTTTCTACTAACACAGTTTTACTTTTAATTCCATAAAAATATACAACAATCTAGCACTGAATAATATAATTAAAACTAGAACTAACACTAGGCTACTAACTAGTGTTAGTTCTAGTTTTAGTTCGATGAAAAATATACAATAATCTAACGCTGAATAAAAACTAAAACTCGACTACTAGACCTAGTACTAGAAACATTCTGGTTTAGTCGTGCGTCTCTTAAGGCGGTTAAACCCGAATGTTTCTAGTTCTAGGTCTAGTGTTAGTTCTAGTTTTAATTGGTATTCAGTGCTGGATTATTGTATATATTTATTAAACTAAACGTAGAAGTTGCACTAGACCTCGAACTAGAAAGTTTCCGTTTAGCCGTGCGTCTTCACAAAAAAAAGATATAAACCATCAACTCAAACATAAAGGTAACAAGCTCACAAATTTGCAAAAAGCAAAATTAGTAAATAAAATTGGTCACAAAACCCATGTAACCCTAAACATGGCCATCAACGAAAATAATTAGTTTCAGTATGTAATATCCGACGCTTGTTAAGTTACATTTTGCGTTCATTTAATAAAAACGGGCCATATGGGACTAACGTGGGCTGTTAGTATCAAAGAGTATTTCTGCGACGCGTTTAATATCCCTTCGTTAACTTCTTGTCATAAGTGTGTGTGTTCGTCCGGGCAGTGTATGCCGAAATGAAATGAAATTTGGGTTCTCATCCTGAATAAAAACTTTAAATATTCCAGTCTGCGTCGGTGTAATTTCTAGAGATACGTGACTAGATTTTGTAAGTTCGTCTTTAATTTGTATTTAAATCATAATTTAAGTGAAATAAAGAATATTTTTTTGTGATGTAATTCTTTAATACAACATTTTTGGTATAAATTTAAAATATACTTAAATTACTAAATTAATTTTTACGTAATTTTTTTTAAATTTAGATAGAACCTTTTATGCATATTCATCATTTAATGAAGGGTATTTATTAATCGGTCGTCTGTACAGTGTTGAAACACCCTTCAAAATTCATGTTGTTATAAATATGGATGTGGAAGGGCTTTTTGCGTGAACCCTTCGAGTAATTGAATAGACTGGGGCTTCTCAGCTCGCGGAGAAAGTTTTAAATAAAATGCTCCTAACGATTTCTACGGACGGGCAAACGCCTTGTCCAGGTCAGAGTTAATAAATGGAACACGATTCATCCAATTAAAGTACAAACTCCAACACGTTTAGCTAATTGTTAAATCCCGGTTTGGGGCCTTTCGTAACCCGGAACTGTACGTGCACCACAATTTCGCTTCCTAAAGACAATCTCCACAGTGCTGCATCTGGAAAACTTTTACCCTGAACTTTTCGACTTTATACAACTAGACTGTTAACTTCTACTCACAACTGTGCAGGTGTGTATAATCGAAAGTTGCATTAAAGTCGGAAGAAACTATAAAAAGAAATATAAGCCACGATTCTATTAACCTATTTCAGAATTTATTAAAATTAATTCATATGAAACATTAACGTTAAGTTTAAAACTTACTTTACGACGGAATGGTTTTGATCGCGCTAGAAAATTCATTCCACGCTCGATAATTTAAACTTTTCGGTGGTAGCCATAATCGTAAGTTAGTGTCGCCACTATTGATTAACGGCCGACCTACAAATTGACCGCTTAATACTGGTTACTTGAAACCATAAAGTAATGTCGATGACGTTTATCGCCGTTAAGGTTTCACGTTTCTCTGATTTCGGTTGGTGTAACATTTCTAAAACTGAAACGTAGGGGGTTTTAACCCTTCCCGCCAACGTGGCTTTTTCAACTTTAACTATTATTTTTCAATGAAGTTTTATCTGTTTTAAGAAAAGTAAAATGAATTTTGTAACTGTGATAATAAATGAACGTCTCAGGCTTTCTTAGATTGCCGAAATTAGATTAAGTAATAGACGCTTATGCGCGATTGAGCGCAAAACATGGAATAATGACAATTTTGACAAGAGATGAAATAAAATGGCAACCTCAAAAGGTAAGTCTTGGAAAGCGATTTCAATGATTTTCCCTATTACGAGTTACAATGTATGAAATCCCTACATTAAGAGAGATGGAAGGATGTTGAAATCACAAGAGCGGGAGGGTAATCTGTGGTAGATTACAGTTAAGTAGCAGAAACTCACTCAAAATCATTAACATATGTATAATCCACCTTTACTTATGATCAATTACTAATGCAATGTTGGAAAGTCCCAAACATGGCATGGCAAGTAGCTAATCAAACAGACGGGAAGTTCTTGGGAAAAATAGACAGCATGGAAATTAAAATAAATTACTGGTTAACAATTGCAGAAAATGACATGGAAAACATGCCATTGAAAGTACTAAAACTAAAAGTGAAATAAAACACACCAAAGACGTTCTATGCAAAAAGCAATGGAAAAAGCTCACATAAACCCAGCAAGCCTTTGAATATGGAAGATGACAAAATAATGATAAAATCTCTGATAAGGCAATTAGCATACAATGTTGGGCCTGATTACACTCTAGTTTCTAAATTATCATAACGTCTCAAATATTAAAAATAATTGAGCTAAAATTGTTCATTTATAAAAACTATTCGGCCAACTTTATTATTGAAGAAGATTATAGTACAAAACGTACGAGGTGGGGTCTTAGATTAACAACAGTATCGTACTGATCGAGAAATAATACTAGATCTTTTTGACACTGTTATATAGTTCTGCACACCTGTTCAGAATGCAGAAAATGTGGTATACAAGTTTTACATGAACTGGTTATTGTCTCCATTTCATGTCAAAACATTGTCTGTGGCACCCAAGAACGTTAGTATAAATACATGTTAAATATTATGTTGATTGAAATGCCTGGCCTGTTTTTTCCATTCTTGTTCCGTTTGTTGATATAAGTTTTTATTCGGGTTGTGGAAAAAATGGCAATAAAATTTTTAAAGTAGAACTTTTGGATTGCAATTGGATTGTCGGAGATAAACATCGTCATCGATAATTGTTACATAGTGAGTGTTAAGATATTTATTGCGTTGTTATCTAGTTCTTCCTATAGAACTAAGAATGTCACAAAATTATTGATTGTTACATTCTTAGTTGGAATTGTTGTTTAATATTGGAAATTTATTATGTTTAACTAGTTTGCAAACTATGACCGCGGTATATTTATCTTTAATCCACTGGAGTCGATCTGTTCAGTTGAAGTTCTAGTTTGGAATGTTAAGACTTCTAAAAGATTTTACTAATACCTAGGAAATCCTTAAGCTGATTTTGTTTATATCGAGCCATTGGACAGTCTCATTTGTCTTGGAACTTATTATAACAAAAAAATATGTCCACTTTTAATCAGATAATGAAGATAATAGTCATCCTCAAAGTCTACAGTTACGGTTTATGGGAACACTATCGAAAAATCGCGACTCTTCCCTACGTAATGCATGTTATAAGTAACGCGAAGATAGATTGCTTTTTTTAACCATGCATGCGCGAATAGGAATATTCACATTGAATAACTATTATATGTATAAAGGGAATTTAATATTAATAATAATTCTTGAATTACCTAATCGGTATAATATTGATATTGGGAGAGTTAGAAATAAAATTTTACCTACAGAATTTTTTGTAAAAAAAAGGTAACATAAAATACAACCATAAAGCGTTTTATGTCATTTCATTACTCTTTTTTTTATTATTTTACCTCCATTAAGTCGTACAATCAATCTACGTAAAACCAAAAGTTCAAGATCGGCAATAAAACTTTTTATTATACGTAAGCAATTCAATGGAAAGCGGGTTTTCGCAAACAGTCAATTTTCCTTTTCCATCCACTTCAAATGTTGAGGGAGACGTTTATTAATATGAATTTTTCAAGAAAACGAAACCTGTACAAGTCGGTTGTGCCAGAATGACTGCGCAACTGTGACCGGATATCCAATATCAAATAAATCCCACTGTGAAGAGTTAAAAACGTATACAGAGCTTTTCCACTTCGCGGGACGGTTATAATCCGACAACGAGACAAGGCCCATGTGCTCGACGGCGATTCCACGAAACGCCACTCTCTTTTCAGGAAATTCTCCGTAACCAAACCGGAAAATTGAGGATTACAAACCGCTCACAGTTAAGGTGTCACAGCATCAGACGCAATCGAATCTTTTGGGACGTCATAACTTACGGTAAATTGATTTGTGAATACCAGACCAACAACCGTACCGAATCTAGAGCACTTCCTCATTATACAATTTACTTTCAATTGCATTTTCATTATACTCCGTCCCATGTTCTATATTATATTCATGTAAATATATGAAACATTTTCGAAATGCAGAAAATCCATTTCAATATCAATACTACATAATTACTAGAAAGTATAGCCAAATGTTATGATTTACTAATGTTGATTCAAATTAGATTAAATATTTATTTTTTATTGTTGTATCGAATGTCAAAAAAATTTTATTCAAAACATGGGTTGTTTATTTGCGCCTGGACACCGTCACGCTTTTGGTTTCGCAATAAAATTTCGTGATGCCATGTCATGGGTGATTTGGGAAAACGTCGAACGAAAATTTAAAAGCTATACAGATCAGGCCATCGGTGGGCCAACCTGATTCCCACGAGTACGAGGAATGGCGTACAAAACAGCACGACCGCAGCGCGCGAATAAATCAACAGTTTTCAATTTCGCCCCTCAGGTCTCGTCGCCGCCGCACCGCCTCCGATGGGTTTTCGCATTTCCCTCCATCTCGAAATTATTTAAAGCTCGCGATAAGCACGTAGAGCGGCTCCACGCGGCCCGAACCGTAACAAATTGCTGAAGTTTGTTTTGCGAGGTGGTAGAGAGGAAAGTTTTACACGAGTTTTGCTGCACATAACAATATGCGATCCGGTATTGAGCTTTCTCTATCGCTGACAGACTGTCAACTTTTAAAACGCATTTCAACTTGACCAGTTATTTCATATCTTACACTTCTAAGATTTATTTTCTGTGTAGCGAGAAAATTTTAAAGTTATAGTACATCTAGGAAAAGATATCCGTAACGATAGAAATACAATAATCCATAATTTAAGGCTTATAAAATATATTAAGTATGTTTACAGAGATCTATCTGAAAAGATCCTCTCTCTCCAAGGATAAGGTGCTAGGTTGCTTGGAGATTATGAGGAGCTCTATACGATGCTGAACCATACTAGGTCCGGACTTGGTAAGCAAGGACCTTCGCCATTGATGATATGTTATTAAAGCTCTCAGGATATAGGTTTGCACTCCTATAAGTTGCTCTTGAAAGTTGCTTCATTAGATGCTATACCATTAGGCGTGAGCCCATTGGTGATAGGTGATAGGGAAGAATTCTTGAAAAGATAGTGGAAAGGTTAAAGTTCTATTCCCCGCAGGATGGTCTGGCAGAATTTAATTTTATATCTCTTAAACGGATGAGATGGCTTAATATTTTTATTTAATATAAAAATATATTTAATATTCTATTTTATATTTTTGTATGCTCTGTATTATGTGTGTTATATTTAGATTCGTTTAAACCAGATTTCATTATCTTAGAAATTTTCCCTCATCATCAAAGACATTACAAATATGTACAGAGGGCCGTTTATCCTTTTTATTAACTTCGTAGCAGTAAAGGATGCTTAGAATTGAAAAGAAAAAACCTTGAATAAAGAGAATATGAAATTGAACGGTGTAATTATCTCTCTGTACAAAACAAACTGGAAAACCTTGTATTTTCCTATCTGTCGACATTTTTAGTTTCTTCCATGTTGATTCAGTGTTAACTGGTTACCTGAGTCCGTTTGTAGATAACCCCCTGGAGCATAAGAGGTTATCAGATTTTGTTTGATCGCGCTTTTCCGCTTTATTTGCGTTTTCCGGTCCGGAGGCTGGCTACTCCGAAAACATCACATTTACAAAAGCGGACCGGTGAATAGTCCTTTTCTACCTTCATCTTCAAAGATGAATCGCTTGTCAAGAAGGAGAGGTCGCGAAACCCGGACAAAATGGACTTGACGTGACGGCTCTATCCATTAAATTTTCACCGAGATTATTGCACCTTGACCCATCTAACCTATACTCGGAGTTTCAAATATTTATTCGACGGAGTCGAGAAGGAACCCGAAAACTTTTGCTATCGATTGGTTTCGGAGCTAACTTTGTACTCAATTAAGTGGATTAATTTATTTTAACTTATATAAATGAGTTAGTATTGGTTTCTCTTTCAATAAAATTTGTTTTTAACAAATAGATAAGTGTTTACCTTTAGTTTCCCGTATAAAAGCGACAAAACTAGTACAAACCTAAATTGACAGTATTTATTTGAGCACATTACCGGTGACGTTAATACCGGATTATCTTCGTATTTACCATTTGAATTAATTACTACAATTAACGATTTACACAACAGCTCATTTAGTTGGATCGCGTTAAAAGGAGATTTGGCAAATTAACACCGAAATGGTATTGACAAATTGAACATAGTAATAAATTTTGGGATATAAAAGCTTAAAGCAGAACATATTAAAAATTGTTTCTAAAAGCACTGACCCAAAATGAAATTTTAAATGCTGTAAAAATTTCATAAACGGTTGTAATTGTGGCATGGATCAACATTAAACTAGGAGTGAGTCCGCGGAAGCCAAAAGGCGACGGAAATGAGAGATAGTGCTCGAGGGGATTTCCGTCCGCACGGATTTATAGCCGGTTACTCACCCTTTTTGGACGTTCTGAAACTGTCGTCTCTCGGCACATATTGGATGTCATAGACGAGGGTTGTGTTGGGCAAAATGGCCCGGTCCTTATTTATCCTGTACACGGCATACTTAAACGCCAACTCCACGCTGCTGTCCTTTTGATCTTCCGTGAATATAGCACCTGAAATTAAATTTCTCGCGTCAATGGAAACCCTTTGTTGGCTTTGTTTAATTTACACTGTCTACTATTTTAACTAAACTGACCCATATTGTTTAAGCGTAGGTAATCTCACCTAAAGCGATTGCTCTCATATGCGGTTGTTATTGTGCCCCGAACATCAATCGAGAAAAAAATCTCTTTGCATGAAATGAAAATGCTTCAGTCTGTATCAAAATAAAAGCTTGATGGAGTATCAATTAGCAGTAAAGCTCTTCATGAAAATATCTTTCCAAACACTGCAAAGCCAGCAAATAAACTTGCTACCATTGTTTCGAAAATTCTGGCAACGTAGACGGCAATTTTTGCTGTCCATTTTCACCGTGCCGAAGTAATATAGTATCCGCGTTCTATTTTCGTTTATTGTGAAAAGGATTTTTTTTGCTACTAGGCACAGACCACTCGCAATCACAAACGAACTATTGCGTGTCCGCAACTGCACCTATCATATCTGCACACTAGAATCGGTAGCGAACAATTGAAGTTAGATTACAAACATTTTCTGGCAACATATGCTGAATTTATTATTAATATGTAAAGTTCAAAAACAAATCTTTAGATATGAAATTAATGCAGGTTTTATTTCTTTTAAAGAAAAATCAAACAATAAAATCTGTCGCTTTGATCAATAACGCAACGAAATCAATTAGTGTCTATGACAATGTGGCTGAAAATCTGTCAAATGGAGGTTTGCTGCTGTCTCACCCTTCTGTTCGCAGATAGAATTAATTGGTTTTTTTACGCCTGCAGCGGCAGACTCGGCTACTGATGTATCGAAATTGGCGAAAACCCAGTGTGCTCTCACTAACTTTATTGTCGTTTCCAATGCTTTTTAAAGCACCGGGACGGTCCGGTTTCGGGAATTGCTTTTCGAATATAAATAGGCACTACAATGCATCACGTCATGCGTAAATATTAACGCGAGTAATTTTTGTATTCTGCTAAACTAGACCGATATGCACCAGTAATCAAACGAGAACCTTTATTTGCACCGCAAATTATTACGAATTGTATTTTATGCCTTAAACAGTAAAAAATAATTGGATAGTGTAACCATATAAATTTTTTTGCTATGGCTTTAATAGTAAAATAAAAAATACCGCAGCCAAACAAAAGTATTCATTCTGTTTATGTTTTGCATGTATTCATATAGAGTAAGTCTCGATTTGCAAAGAACAAATTCAATTAGTACAGAATATTGAAATACCTCATACATGTATTAAAATATTGCCATATTATCAAGTTTCATCAATATAAGAGAGAATTAAAATATTGGCGAAATCTTTCAGTACAACACTTTGAATACCATCATTTACTAACCTGGTCCAAATCGAAACTATTAATAAGCCGAAACTAATATTATCATGCTCCAAACCCCTGTAAACTTTAGCGAAGTACACAGCAAATTCGTCAAGAATTCAGCTCCCCGTATTCGAGATCCTTGTACTTCATAATATTAGATATTTAAGATCCTTGCGGTTTTATTGCTAGGGATAGATACTCCGAGATAGTAAAACGGTATCATGTTCTATATTTGGTCGTTCTGATCCTACAACAGATGTGATCTTTGACGATAGTTATTGATTTGGTTTTTGGAATTGATATTTCCAAAAAGGTAGAATTTGTAAAGAGGGCGCTACAGATAATTTTCGTTGTCGGCCAGGAGTACTGCGTGATGTGCGTAATACAGTATCTTTATCTTTTCAGCTCCTAAGGTACATACATCCATCCTAAGATATATCTTCCATTCTTTCGGTAACTGACCAGTCTTGTATATTTTTTTTATAGGCTAGGTAAATTCTTTCTTTAGATGTCCTCATTCATACTTTATAAGTTCGTTTATCATTTCGTCTAGACCTGAGGTCTTTCTGTTTTTTAATATAGCTATGTTTGTCTTCACTTTCTTAAGAGTTGTGTCCTTTTAATGTGTCTTGTTACACTGTGGGCGTGGTGTGGTCTCGTCTAATATTTCCTCTGTTATCTACAGAGTAGTAAAGTTATCTGTTTGTTAAGATTGTTTTCTTGCCATTTTGTTATTGGGTGTCAAGTGTTCATTTTGTGTCTTTTTTAGGTTTCTAACTATTTTCCAATTTTTTATGTCTCATTGAAATCGAGTATTCCTAGAAGAGTTGTTTAATTTCCTTTTTCATCTTCCGATTAGCTATTTTTGCGGTGAGTATTTAAATTGTCTTCCTGTTCATTCTGGCTTTTACAGTTTTCCTGAAATCTAAAACCGAATAATTTAGTGCCAATTTTTGCATTCAGAAATCAAACGTTTCCAAGTCCTTTCAGTTGCAGCTCCGATTTAAAACGCAATATCAAAGGTAAATTGCATTATATATATACTTTATTATTTGTTGTGAAATTAATAATTTAAAGTGGCAAAACAATAGCAAATAAATAAAAATAATAATAAATCAAGTTTACTGTACCATTCTATAAAATACACGATTATTGAAAACTCGTAATATGAGATTAAAAAGTGAAAAATGATTTTAATTAGAATAATAATTGATAAAATTCGTGTGTTTTCAAAAATAATTTTTCTGGCAAATTTAATTTATATTGCATAACGATATCGAATATATTCTTTTTATAATAGATTATTTTCCACCAATGTGATATTGGAATAAACAATACGCAATATCCTGTGGTTCGATGTTCGTACGTTATTATCTAGCTTCGAGTTCGGTCCAGTTATAATCCGCTATCCTATTAATTATAATTTCATTATTTATTCTGGTCGATTGTTTGCGATATGCTGTATTTAACGATTTCGACGCTGTTTAGTATAGAGGAAATTATTATCATCAACGAAATATGTGGTATTAATAGAATGCGTTTCTGACTCTGTAATTTGTATTTAGATTCGCTTGATTACAACAAACTTTCTTTTTTGTTATACTATAATATGTATTGTAATCAGAGATTTGTTGAGGTAATAAAATAGTGGTAAGGAGACAGATGCATCGTACAAAACAGTTTGCAATTTCTGTAAATTTTTGTGCCTTGGAAGCTAGCCACAAAACATATGCTTCCTTCGTCGAATATAACGGGTTACGTTCGTAAACCAAGGGCTTATTGTGTTAAACTGAGAGTCTGGAAAAGGTCGTCAGATGGCTAGCCATCATTTACACGCTCACGAGATATTTCTTGGTCATTCTGCTACACTAATCCGCAGATGTCACACGATACAGCAATTCTTTCTAAGGCTTTACTAACAAGAATCTACTCAAATATATATAATATCGAGGGTAATTTCGATTTAATCCACAAATATTTCGAGTATCTTATTCACGTATTACTCAAACCCTTTTATTTTAAACTTAAACAAAATTATCGTGGAAGCGTTGGACGGGTTAAAATTAAATTTGTAACTTCCAATTAAGCTCGTACAATAATGTACCTTATTACAGATCTATGTCTTCCTTCCAGAGGTCTGGAATATCTCTTTGAATTTCACAACGACGAACTACGGAAGTTTAACCCAGTGCGGTCGGGTACAAGTAAATTATAATGCACAGCCCGAAGGTGATCGTCGACGGATAAATTCCTCCTGGGGGAAATTCTCATATAAGATTCCCTTTCTGGCACGATGAGATATCCGGAAACTTAATCCGAATCGACGCCACTAATTTCATTTTTCCTAATATCGGAGTAACTGGTAACTATTGATTTTACTCCAGAGTCCGAAACCAGTAACACTGGCTGTCAGATCGCCGCAATAGCACCCTTTGTAAAGTTTGATAATTATCCCGTTAGATGTCTTGAGATGGTCTTAATTTCGTTAATTAAAGAAGTTTCCGTTGGAAAATTTTATTTTAGTTCTACAGTAAGATTGATTGGATAGAGGAGGCTATGAAAAAAACTAATAAAAGACTTTTCAGTCTAGGCCTATAAAGATGTTTTTGCTAATTTCTTTGGATCCATGATCCTGATTAATTATATAATAAATTATAACTGATACATATTAACTATTTTAAGCCGTTTTATTCATTACGAGATATATTTTACAAAATCAATCAACTATGTCAATCTTTCAATGACATCTATTCCATCTTTTTTTTTGGTATCCATCAACTAAACCGACGGACGTGGTTTATTTTATAATCACTTTGATTCAAATTGTTAGTTTAGGCCGTTTTATTAATCAAATTTGAGCCTTTTGAACTAACAAATTACCACGATTTTTTTTGAAATTAATCAATTATGTCAATCTTTCAATCATATCTATTTCAGCTGCATTTTTTTGTATCCATCAGCTAAACTGACGTTGTCTATTTTAATTAATTTTTGTTTCTACGAAATTTACGTAATTTTTTCATCATATTTTTGATTGATAGGATCGAATCAACCGCCGTGCCAGTCGTTTCTACTTAATCAAAGACCTACGAAGTTCTAAGGGTGAATTGATTGTATGGGACGTTCACGCTACGAATACGTCCACATGGACCTCTTCAGCGAAACGTGAGCGAATTGTGAAATTGCTTCTGAAAGCGACCTCTCGAAATCCTTTATTATTGCACAGTAAAGTCTTATATACGACAGCAGTTAGCTAGAAAAAAAGTTAAATGTTAATTAATTAATGAAATACATATTCTAGAATAGTACTAAAATGATTGTGCTTTTATATTTATGTATAATAAATAATGTTTAACTTGAAAATAATTAACGTTATAAATTTTCTTTCAACTTAAGACTTGAATACGGGAGGGTTAATTAAAGATCAAACGACATTTTATTTTAGAGATGAAACAACTGTAAAAGTATCTTAAACGATACCGAATATTGTAAATGACTATAATAATTCTGTTTTAATAATATTCTAGTTAATTTTCATTAGTTTTAGTGCATTCTCAAATAAACTACTACTAACGAGCAATCCATTAACGGTAGTCGACTGGCACTTACTTATCGAGCCAGGTTCGTTTCACAACGATCGGAGTTTGTATATATTTACTGAA